AACGAAATTGTGCGATATTCATAGTCCCAATACTTTATGGTAAAAATGCATAAAAATGTATGAATATCTTGAATTTTTCATTATTAATGTCACAAAACTAACTAAATATATATTTAGAAGATAGAAGTATATTTTATAAGACATTTTACTTCATGTGACAAATACTGTAAGCAACTGATGTCAACCAGAAACATTTTACATATCAATTTTTTCTTATATTTATTCATATTTGATCATCGATAATTCAAGCTTATTTGTTGCACTCTTGACCAAGAGAAGAGAATTGTGAAGCATACATTACACCAGAACATGTTCTGTTGTGAAGTTGTGGTGGAATTACTAAAGTTTTATGACAATTTTTCTGTGTGTGTGTGTGTGTGTGTGTGTGTGTGTGTTAATTTCATTAAAAAAAAAAAAAGAAAAGATAAAAAAAAAAAAAAAAAACCCACTGGATTGATAAAATTGAAAAGAAGCCTTTTAGTAATAAAAATGTACATAATTTAGTACTAAATTATTCAAATAGATCCTTATTGATCAAAGAATACTTATTACCGGTCTTGTAGAGTAGGTTCTCCCCTCTAACACCCCCCCCCCCCGAAAACTGGCTCTAGAGTAGGATTTTCTCCCGGAAAATAGGCTCTAGAGTAGAATTTCCCCCTTGGAAAAATGACTCTAGAGTAGGATTTCCCCTACGGAAATCCCACACCAGATTCAATTTTCCGGGGGGAAATCCTACTCTGTGTAGTAGTTATAGAGTGCAATTTCCCCCAGAGCCAATCCCCCCCCCCCAATAAAATATAATGGCTGTACTTATGTTATGAGGGGGAAAGGGGGGCACACATTGTTACAAGTGTCCCTTCTTCAAAATGGTGATCATATGAATTAAAACATGCGAAGAATGAAAAATGAAAATTTTAAATCTCATTTTTTTCTCAGCAACCGTCCAATCAATTTTTTTTTTTGAAGCATTAATTTTTTTTCTTTTCATCTGGTCTCTGAGTAAAGAATGTCAGAATTGGAAATAAAGGGAGTCGAGTTGATGAAATGTGCGTGTACAGTGTTTATAATCAAAAGGTTAAGGAATAGAAGCATACTAGGTCTAAAGTCCAAGAAAAATATCTCTTTGTTCACGATTTTTTTCCCATCATTGGTGATGTTATGCAGCTAATGCTTTAATGTGTTCTCCTTGATTGCTTTACTTAGCTTAACAAAATATGATTATTGACAGCAAGACAGCTAAAGACTTTATCATAATTAAACCCAAGCGCAAAATAAAATTTGAGCCATTTATCAATTGTTCGAATGATAATTATTCACCCAAAATCGAATTAAAAATTATGTAATTTTCATTCCATAGTTTCTCGTACAAATGCTACAAACAAGAAAATTATTTTGTTTTAACGAGATAACAAACTCGTTATAATATAAATACTCCATGATGTGCAAATTTTTCACCCATCGAAAACCATTGTCAATCTCGGCTGCGCCTCAGTTAAAATGGTTTTCGAGGGGTGAAAATTTTCAATGTTACACTCAACTACATGCAATATTTATTATATTATACTGAATGTTTTATACAAATGCATATTACAGTGAACCTTGCGCGCATGAATACTGCGCAGTCAATAGTTTTTGGAATATCACCCGTCGACAAGCAGTGTTCACTGTTGCTACGCTGGAGGGCGTGGCTTCATTATTCAGCAGGTAATAGTGTTTTTTAACAAATATTTCTCGTCAGATCAGATTCAACTTATTTACATGAAAGTATAATATAACGAGATAACGACCCATTAATACTATATACATGTAATTATATCCTTTTAACGAGATAACCATCTAATTATAAGGAGATAACTAACTCGTTATGAAATAATTAATTCGTTTTAACGAGATACTAACTCAAACAATTCTTTCGTTCAATGGATTCAAGTAACATACAAGAAGTAAATTCTTTGAAAAACAAATTGAATATTTAAACTTTAGATGGCCTTGATATACTGCACATTAAATAAAAGTGACTCTATAACGAGGGGGGTGGGATGGGGTTTCTACTTTGAGAAAGAAAGATGGGGAAATTTGGCTCTGGTGTGAGATTTCCCCTCGGGGGAAAATCCTACTCTAGAGTACACTTTCCGGAGGGAAAACTGGCTATATGGGGAATCCTACTCTACAACACCGGTATTATGAATTTCATCATTGAACTTGGATCTTTAAAAAAGTGATGCACTCTTGACCATAGAAATATGGATCTGAAACACAGTCATATCCTGTAATTGATAGATTTATTTGGTTAAAATGTTCTTTGTGTCTTTATTTTCCAAGATAGAAAGCAAAGAAATGTATGTATTACATGTGCTGATAAAAGTTTTTTTCCATGTTGAGGAGCAAATGATCAAATGTTGCACTCCCAAAATAAATGGGTATGCACAGATACTTGACTCTCACTTATGCTGCTTGTGATTCATATAACATTTATAACTTTTATCAGTTATTGTTTTACACTTTGAAAATCCTTTTTTTAAATTTAATGTCATACAGATCTTTAAAAATCAATGTTTTTTGGCAACATTATATTTTTTTTCTGTTGCACTCCTGACATGGTTTGACAATTTGTTCAAAGCAGCCATGGCTATAACTTGGTCAAACACAAGTTACTAGTCTAAATTTAAAGCTAAAAACATTGAATTTCATCACGAAAGTCATTATTTCTAACATATTATTTATTTCATAGACCCTCAATAAATATTAAATTTTGAAAATGTCAGAAAAAGGTGTTGCATTCCTGACATTTTTTGCATATATTTTTGGCATAACTTTTTTGTAACTTAAGATATCAATGAGATATTTGGCAGGTATTTAGCCAATATCAAATGACATATGTTGAGTCATAATTTTTTTTCACATTGCCTGTATTTTGTTGCAAGACTTTTCCTTTGTGTACCAACATTTGAGACATGGTTGATCCTGGAAGTGAACTACTTAAAATAAACTTTAACCTTAGCCATTACTTCTGAACAGTTGGTTCTAGATTTTAGATCTTTCTCATTTCACATTGTATCCCTCGTGAAGAGATCTTTCTTTAGGTACCAACATTTTCACCTCATGGCCTTGACCTTGGGCTTTGACTTACTTTTGAGAGACTTTAACCTTGGCCATAAGCTGCATCAGTTTTTCACAAATACATCTTGTTTTATATTTTCAAAAATACATTTGTATATCCTGTTTTAGAACAAGCAAGAAAGATCATAAGCGTGCTAAGAGTGCTAAGATGGTGCCTATATGTTCATAAGAATCTGCTTCCGTTTCTACAACAGTGCAGATCAAACGTGTCAAAAGAAACCATGGTGGATCAGCAGAAAGCCGAACGATCGTAATCCAAATCTTATGTATCATCCACAACCAGACATATTGATCTTAAGGATGACATTTACTCAGACGGCAAATAATTCACTTATAATATTCGATGAAAATCAATATATTGTACTTTGTAGACCTATAATTGTGGTGTTATTATTTTTTTTTTACTTTCAATTAAGTAGGTTAATGACTTTTTTATGCTAGTGACCTCTGAGTATTTCTCGAAAAAAAAAATATTAACATGAAATGTGAAGATAATGAACAGTGATCAAGGTCAAAAGTCAAGTTGAACGATACAAGTTATGAGCAGAGCCAACACGGACCTCTGAGAAAAGAGGGGGGATCAGATGCCATGGATAATAAAATTTAATTTTTATTATTAGTTTGCCATCAATGTTTTAGTAGAGCATCTAAATATGAAACTCTGTGGTGTCTTTTTATTTCGAGTTCAAAAGAATATATCGAATCAAAGTAAGAATGAAAAATATTGTTAATTGATAACGAAGAAGAAAACGAACACTCTGCTAATAACGGGGCATAATTGGACCTATTGGAATTCCAAGAGAGTGTTGAAAGAGCTGTATGATCTCCGAAAACTACATAGATATTGTCAATCAGAAATTCAAGCATCTTTTCAGATCAATACCGGAGTAACTGCGTTTAGAATCAGAATGTTTTTTCAACAAAATAAGTTTGCACATGACAAATAACAAGATGTGCAAATTTATGAGTTACATTTTTATTGAATAAGTTGTCTATGATGATCGATGGTCTTTGGGGGAATGGTTTAAAGTGTTGAAAATATCGTACGTTTTGGCCACTGATTTTGGTTGAATTTTGTGATTTCAATTTTTTCCTAAAGTTCCTTGGAGATTGAAGTATTCACGTCTGATTCACACCACTTCTCGAATATGTTAACGTTGCTGTACAGTATTTAATCCTGAAGTTTCTCCTTCATAGCTGTTAATATTTCGTGAGAAGTAAAGAAAGAAGCTTGGTAGATCATTAACTAGAACCAGCTATATGTATCTTTGTGAGAATTTTTATGAAGTATAGGCATACATAGGCATGGTAAATAATTCAACTTCATATTTGTTGTTGGGAATATTTAAAACATGCTAAAAATTTTGCATTATGACCAAGATTTTTTTCTTACAGTAATAGTGGTAGTTATGAAATATAATGAAAAAAAGGATAGTGTTGCTAAAAGAATTAACGAATTATGCTGTCTTTTGGCTTTTATTCATATTTCATATTTACTGCTTTGCATGAGCTTTAACAAATATAGTCTTTTCAAGACAATACCTAAAAACTTAATTTTTAGGATAACAACCTTAGAAAAAAAATTACGAGACTGAACCATAGAATTCATATCAAAGTACGATGTAGTTCATATAAGCAACATCGTTATTTGTTGAATTAAAAACAACCTTTTCATTTTACCAAGTCAGTGTAGTTGATACACAGATTTTCATATTGATATTCATAAACGTGCATTTCATTCCACTGCTACTAATAATATCAATATACCATAGGATAATTACAATGATTATAATATGAATATAATATGGAGTCAATCCTCACTACAGAAGCACATATATTCATATTCTAATTTTAAAATGTGCGTTCTACACCCTATTGGTTTATTCATATCTTCCCCTTATTATTCAATTAAACTATTCTGAATCCAGAAAAACTTAGTCTCGTGTACTGGTTGCTCTCCAGAATGTCACCAGCGAAGGCTGTGCCAACACGAACTTTTACAATGTCTCCCTCCTTTACATTCAGAATGGTAAAGGTGGAAGAGGACGCTCTGTCATTGTGGTTCATTGCATCCGCCCATCCGATGTCCTTCACGATATCATTTTTGACGAGTTGCACTGAACAATGAGATTTGTCTTTAGCAACAGTTGTGATGTGGAATGCATAGACGCCATTTTCAGGTACAACAAAGTTTCCGCTTGTCACGTCATATCCATTTCCGATATTGGTTTCCACTCTGTCGTACACGAGTGTTTTGTTGACACGGAGAGAACTAATTTGCACACTACTTGACATGTAGGTATGAAAAGCAACTTGCATTTTCCCTAAAAATGGATATAAAATACACAATTATGTATTTTGGGGTGACTGTCTTTCAATTAAAAACACCAAAACATGTTTCATATCATTTGATAGCCACTGATTTTTAAACAAGAGCATTTTTCTTTGCGTGATCGCCAAAAAACATTAATTCAAATAACTGAACATACATGTATCTTAAATGATTAAAAATATCATCAATTCAATCGATACGCAACGCAATTTTACATGTAAGTAAACAAATTTTGCTATCGCTCAAATAATCATTGAAAACAGTCTACTATCTATAAGACCTAGCTGCAGAACTGTAGCGTTATAGTTTTATAGTTTAGTCTTTGACCATAACAGGTAAGGCAGGTAAAATATTTGAATATTGAAGATCTACAAGTTCTTGGCAATTTTGACCCACGCTCACCCCAGAGGACACGTATTTGGAAAAGCTGTTTGCTTATTATACATGTAATTGTATGAAAATTCGTCTGCTAGATGCGCAGGAGAATTTTTAAATAAAACAAAATACATATTTGTTTTAAATTGGTGCTTTAGTTTCAGAGAAGTTATAAAATATTTAAGGATTTACTAATGGAAACTGTCAAAAATAGATACAGGGTAGCATAGTATTGTGTTCAGATAACTTATCTGAGTAACTCAGGTGATCAAAAATGTTTAATAATTGCAACCAAAAAAAAACAACAACAACAACAACAAACAAACCAAAAAAAAAAAATCAGAAGTAGGAGTGGAAACGACATTCAACTCTCTTTGAAAAAAAAAAACGAAAAAAAAAGAAAAACAGAAGCAGGAGTGAGTGGAAACGTCATTCAACTCTCTCTAAAATTCTGGCAATTTTGATAGCATTGAAATAACTTTAATGTTTTGGGAAAAAAATATTGCCTTTATATGACTCAGTATTTAAAAAAAATAATACTAGTGTATAGTATAATTGATAGTAAAGTGTTTTATTTTTTACTTAAAAGGCCCCTAATTGCATGTACTTGGAATATTAATCAGAATGAGCAGATAATTTAAAAATTATATCAAAATGTTTGACAAAAGGAATATATACTATTCAAAAGATATTCACCTAACTGACTAAGTCTGCTCCCACTCCGCTGTGCGCACAGACTACAAATCGTGTCCTCCATTTCTTCTCTGTCACACGATTCCTCGGCCATAGAGGAAGCCAAAAACAGGAATAAACCAAGCAACAAACATTGCAACTTCATCGTTAAAAGCAAGACAGAAATCTTGGTATAGTATTCAATTGGGCTTATTTTGCCGAAATGCGAAGTTAGAAAGAGACCCATTGAGTTTTATACTGCATTCGTCGTCTTCATCCAGAAAATAAAAAAAAAGTTCAGGATTTTTTTCTCTCTCTATCAGTTGTTTTGGGGGATGAAGGGGCATAACGTGATAAACAAAAATCTGAACAGTTAAAACAACCAAAGACAAGTTCAGTTCATGATGGCATCTGCATGGGATGATTTTCTTTGATAAAGATGTTATATACCGGTAAACATGTTTATAAGTACAGCTATTTATAAGAACCAGGCAGAAGTAAAAATAAATGATTCATGATAGTAATAGTTTTTTTTTTTTAATTAACACAATTTTATTAAAAAACATCAAAATAAATGTTTTAATACAAATATAAATGGGTTTTTTGCATAGATAATTAAAAATTGAATTTTATAAATGCCCTACTGTGCTGAAACAATCAGTAGTATCCTTTAGAGGGTGCTTATATGTGCTGGCGATTTTTTTTTTAAAAAATCCTACATGTTTAATGAATTTGAATTATAAGCCTTTGAAGAGCTTCTATAACAGAATATAAATCAATCGAAAAACCCATGGGTTATTTTAATTATGAATAAATATTATGATAATAAAACATGAAACTTCATGAAATTTTAGTTATCTCCCTTGACACTCTTCTGTGAAGGAGTCGAAAAGGCTGCATTTCACTCTTCTGTTAAGAAGGTGAGGATTTATGAAAAATGAATTGTTGCAGTCCATTTTTGAAGTTTTGTTGATTCTCATATATACTTAGGACAGGTAAAGCAAAATATTCCAACAAAAATAGGACTTTTATATGGAAAACCACCTTTCCTGCAGTTTTTCTTCTTTTTTGTCTGAGAAAAACAAGTGTGGAGCTTCACCTTATTACCCAAATGAAGACAGTTTGATTCTCATAAAAAACTGTAATAAAGACATTAAAAACTACCTAAAATCATTGAACATCGGAGATATACCTTCTGAGGGGCACTTAATATGCCTTCGAGCTGGTATTTTTACACTAGCAGGGGATTATTCTATCTGTCCCTTCCACCGATACTCCCTTGGTGTAAGATGGAAGAAGAAAACATCCTGCTCACACCCAAGTCACACTCACCATTCAACAGGTCTGGGCGGCCTCCGTTTTTGGAGGATAGCTAAATTCAATATGGCGGCCAAAATTTTTACCATATATGGAAACCGCGTTGCATTGTGGGATAGTTTATCCTCCGATTTAAGAGGATAACACAGGTAATTTTCAAACACCCCGTACCTACCTTTAATCAAAAAGTGCAAGCACCAGAGTACATGCAAATAAAAGTTCAAACATTAAACTATCGATTGTATGTGGCGATTTGAGATTCTATGTCTAGATATTTTGCAATTTGTTTTCAAAGTTAGCACTTTTTGCGCTCCATTATTACTGAATATTTCTTGTTATTTTGTTTTATTTTTTATGATTTTTCCCTATTTAGACAATTAAAAGTCTTTAATATTTCTTTTATTTTTTTCTTTTAATTCAAAAAAAAGGAAACACAAAAGGAAATGCATTTTAAGCGTATTTAAAACGCAGAATATACTCTGCCTTATAATTTAAGCAAATAAAAGTACAAATGGATTGAATGAATAATTATAAAAAATAAATAAATAATTTGAATAGCATAAGTAAATAAAATAAATAATTTGACATGTTTACTAAGAAATTAACATATATTCATACAGCCATGTATATACACAAACAAATAAAATATTACAAAGTGATGTGCTTATTAATAAGAATTATTAAATGAAAGAAATGATAAATTATTGAACTTAATTTTTCAAAAAAAAATTGTTTATCAAAATTTCTTAACTGCTTATCACATAATTACGGTACTGGAAAATCAGCGTGGTTATAATTAACCTCAGTCACAGGCAGGTAAGTGCAATATTTGTTTTCCAAGCTGTATTCCGAATAACTGATTGACGGCAATTAAAAAATATAGTTATAGTAATTTAATATCTGGAATTATCCATCATCATATAAAATTGTACCTTTTATTTGTTTTGATTTCGAAATCAGCGTACGGTTCATAAATGCAAGAGTTGCTGTTATTTGTTTGGTTAAGAGTTAACTGCCCTTAGTTTTGAAAATTCCGGTAGGTGGCAAGACCGCTATCCTCTGTTTTCAGAGGATAAAATCTATCCTCCAAAAACAGAGGCCGCCTAGACCTGTTCAAAGGCCAAAGCAGAGGTTGGGAGGAGCATCATGCTATCTATGTCACGGCACCTCCATACAGTGTATGGAAGTGTTGTTCCTGTCGGCTCAGGTATTACATTTAGAATTGCATCCCTTGTAGACTAAACCTTTAAGAACAGTACCTGTGATCATACACCTATTCAATAGGCTATTGTTTGTTCACATTCTCTGTCATCGTCGGAACCACAGGTTTTCTCTCCGTTACACTACATTCAATATGTAGTGTAACGGAGAGAAAACCCGTGGGTTCCGATGATGATTCTCTGTAAAAATTATTGTGTTTAATTTTAAAATACTGGTATTTGATATATAATAAAGCTAGTCTTTGATAATTCTAGTAGCTTCATGCTGTACACGTGGTATATAACTTATACATGTATGTACTACATGTACATACGACAAAACAAAACATACCCTTTTTCATGCCACACCGTGTATCAGATCTCATTGACAACCATTATCAGCATAGGGTCATACTGTTGTCTCAGGCTGATACAAGGTGCGATATGAAATATATCAAATATAATTCATAAAACAATGAATTATTTTTTTATATAATTAATTATAAATGTATGAACTTTTTTACCCCCCCCCCCTCGAAATTTTATGATTATTTTACGTTTTTTGTTTATTGACTGGGTAATTTTTATTTTCAGCAGATATATATTTTACATGTAACTCTAGATGTCTGTTACATTTCATTTAAATAGGTTTATGCAGTAAATGCAGAAAAAGTATCAGTGATGAAATGAAATCATGTGAGGTAAGATTTACACAAGGCATCTTTTTCAAGGCGTTCTCCATTTAAGTACTAAATAAAGTCTGCAGGGTAAAAAATATCTGAGTTTAAATAATTTAAACTCCCTTGGTTCATATGGAGGGTGATCATGTTTAAAAATCTATACACGTATAAATTCACAATTTGTTAGATGGAAAATTTGTGTATCAATCCATTTTTCTACATATGAAATTAATTGATCTGAAACTTTTATCTCAAACACTGTACATTGCAATTCTTAATGTTTCCCTTTTTACATGTCATATGTTGTTTCTTAAATTCTGAACTGTCAAATTTTTAGTAAGTTATCATTCATGAAAATTCAATCATCAATCACTGTATTTTATACACATTCATACTATAAAATTGTATCTGATGATAAACAAATTAAATTTACAAGTGTCAGTACGTCAACTACCCCTGCACGTTCATCTATGCCAAGCCTTGAATTCAGCACATTGGAATATAACAGATGTCTAATACATGTAAATGGTACATCTACTAGTTATAAATATTGTGCCTCCCAAGTACACTGCTTAGTTTTAAGCATTCACTTAAAATTTACTTAATAATCACATTGCAGTAACATTCATAGATTTGAAGTCATATATTCAACAATTTTCAAAATAAGCATAGAATGTGGAGATATCATGCTGTGTTTGTTTCTATCATTGTTTATTTTTATTATAAGATGGAGTGTGTCAAAGAGAAAATTCATATGAGAGTGGATGTACAATGTATACCATTAATCTGACCCTACCCATATACATACAGATCATCCTCATCATCATACAAAACATAAATCTATTAATCTTGATTACCAATGATGTCCATTTTATCTGTTTATGTAACTGCATGATACTTGAAGGAAATATAATGGAATGAGAATTACTTATCTGAATCAGTTGGGGAGAGGATTATCTAAGTATTTGGAACTTCTGTCTAATACCTTTGACATGAACTGTCAATGAAATATGTTTCATTATTCAAATATTTAATTTATTTAGGATATATTTATCAGTTTAAAAGCATTAAGTCATTTAACTATGTACCATTCTTTCGTAAAATGACATAAACATAGTATAATGATATATTTTCAGTGTTGTCAAAAAGTACCTTCTAACTGCAAAATGACCCTGAATGACACAGCGGAGGTAATGTTAATTAAAATACAGGATTTTTTACAAAGTAAAATATTTATCAATTTACTCTCAATTTACATCTCAATATTCAAACATTAATGCATATGTACTTTATATTTCCATGTAAAATGCTGATGACTTGGCATTCATTTGAAATGGTTCTAATATCTTTATTATCTATCATCATAATAAACGTTTTTTCAGCAATTCAGGAGCCTCCGGCCAAGGGCAGAGAATTATGATGAAAATTGCCATTCAGAGACTTTGTCACAGGTATTTATTTTGAAGATTGATTCTCTGCAAAAGGGGCTGCTGGTCTCTATTTTTTTTTTGAGGATAATTTTTTGATGTAGTTTAACTATGTAAATTTTCATTTGGAAGCTGCCCCCCCCCCCCCATTTCTGTATGTTACAGTGGATCGCTGGCAAATTCCAGCATTTAAAAAAAATGTAAGGAATAGAAAAAGGTACAACAACCCTCCTCTCCCTCCTCTCCACCCAATAGAATTTTTAGCTCTACTGGTCAGAGACCAGAAGAGCCTATGCGATAGTAAGGTGTCCGTCGTCTGTCTGTCTATATGTAAACAATTTTTCAAAACGCTACTCCTCGTACAGTTTTGGTCTGATTTAAAACTTGGCACACAAGTAGACTACACAAAGATACATAATTCAATGCATCATTTTTTGATTTCGATGAACGGTGTTTCCGTGGTTACTAAAAATAGAAATATCTGTGAAATTCCTTAAAACGCAATTACTCCTACAGTTTTAGTCTGATTTAAATATAACTTGGCATACAAGTAGACTACACTAAGATACATAATTTGATGAATTGGTTTTTGATTTTGATGAATGGTTTTGCCATGGTTACTTAACATAGAAATTTTTTGTAAAACTCTTTTTAAACATTACTCCGGCTACAGTTTTGGTCTGATTTCAATCAAATCTGGCACACAATTAGACTACACTATGATACATGATAGTTTATATCAGATTTTGATTTTAGTAAATGGTGTTTCCATGGTTACTAAAAATAGAAATTTCTGTGAAATACTTTCAAAACACTACTCCTCCTACAGTTTTTCCTTGATTTCAATATAACTTGGCACACAAGTAGACTACATTAAGATACATAATTCTATTTATTACTGCTTGTTGTAAAGTTTCAAATCCAAGTGCTACTTTTCCTTTGTTATATGTACAGACCAGTAGAGCTACAGTCTCATACCAGACCTCTGGTTTATTTTAAACAGTAGTGTATTTTTTAAAATTTAATTCTATTTAATAAGTATTATTTTACTTTTCATTTTTTTAGACCCCCCTCCCCCCTCCGTCTTTGAATTGAAACATTGTTACGGGCTTGCACCCGTCCATCAGTCTGTCAGATCATCTGCTTTTTTCAGTGCAACTCCTATGAAACTACTTACTCAAAAGAATTTCATAAAACTTTGTATTAATTATATAAGGACATTATGTGTAGACATCTGAGAAGATGTGAATATTCTGATTCATTTTTTTTAAGCTCACCTGGCTGAGCTGAAGGCTCAAGTGAGCTTTCTGATTAAAATTTGTCCATTGCCTGTCATCGTCATCATTGTCATCAACTTTTTACAATTTCGTCTTCATCTCCAGAACCACTGGGCCAATTTCAACCAAACATGGCACACAGTGTCCTTGATTAAAGGGAATTCACTCTTGTTCAAATGAAGGGCCACACCCTCTTTCAAGGGGAGAAAATAAAGAAAAGTAAAAATTGTGTGGGATCATTTAAAAATCTTCTTCTCTTCAAGAACCACTGGGCCAGTAAGGATAAAAATTATGTGAAAGCTTTCTGACATAGTGTAAATTCAGTTTTTTTCACATCATGCACCCGGTGGTAGGGTGTGGCCACAATGGGCAATCAAAGTTTTATATAGAAATTCATGGAAAATTATCTTTAAAAATCTTTTCTCAGGAAGTCATGATTAGTCATATTCATAAAAAATCATCCACAGATAGTGTAGATTCAAGTTTGTTTGAATCATTACCTTTGGGACTCGCCAGAGACTACAATGGGTGATGTGAAACAAGCTTTACCACCCAAGAGACCATAAAAAAGTAACACATATGTTCTTCATGAAACAATGAAAAACACTAATTGTTTTGAAAAAAGAATAGGATTTATTTTCCATGAATGATTTCAAATTTTAAATTTTGTATTTCTAGACAGACGAATCAACCACCTGCAGTTTGTCACGGGAATCAAATTGGAGCACCACTTTAGAGGGTCATATACATCTAACTGATGGAATAGATAACCTCAACAAAGCTCTTACATCTCTAAGTGGTGGCCAAATGAGTCCAATTAAGTATCAGCTGCAAACACCCTTGAATGAAGTACAAGCCAGCACAAGGAGATATTTGAAAAGGAAGGCTACAGATGCAGTGCACACGATTCTAGATCAGATGGCCCCTGGACAATCGAGAGAACTACTTGGATTACTCCTAGAAAAAAACCATCCGGAGGAGAATGAACAAAATACTAAAACGGAACTTGAAATAACAGATTCAATTCTACAACTCTACTGTGAGGCTGAAAATAATGCCCTTAAGCGTCAACTCCTGTCTCTCTTATCTTTACCAAATGCACACAGTAAATCTGAACTCCAGAAACTTATTCCTGGACTAACAAAGTGGGAAATTGATCAAAGTCGATTGCATGCAGCATCTCATGGAGCAGGCACCTTACCAGTCAGTGTGGGACCAGCTATTAGACACCGCATGAATAGAGAAAAACTGGAACATGCATTGTCATTTTTTTAGATCCCAAATTCTTTCAAATTTGTTCATATGGAACAAGAGATCTGCATTGTGACAATGGAAAGACAATCACAATACCACAGGTAGTGAGAACAACCTGTCATTCTTCTTTACTAAGTATGTATAAATCATACTGCTCTGAAATGGATTTTGTTCCATTATCTGATTCCACATTGTACAAAATTATGTCTACCTGCTCTGCTAGTAAAAGAACGAGCTTATGTGGTCTTGATAACATTGCCACTGATGGTGCAGCAGCCATTGATGACCTAATACACATGTGTGAGCATTTAAAAGAATTAGGATCTGAAATAAACACAGTTACCAGTTTAACCTCTGATTTAAAAAATCTAAAGATGTACTTGAAATCAGAGTATAAATTTAGTGTGGGACTGTCCCGTGGATGCCAAGATCACTGTATCAAATTCGCTCTTAGCCATCCAAGCAATGTCTTGCTGCAAGAAGAGTGTGATCATTTACATGAGGAACACTGTAGAAAATGCGACATCCTTGAAGAAATAAGCAGTGCCTTTTTTGACGAACTCCAGAAAGTCAGATGTAAGTTTTTAATAGAAAATTTCTGTAAAACTGTTTATCTTTGCATGGGTTTCTATAAATTTTAAACAGTTTCAATGTGAGCATTGGTATGAAGATAAAGAGAAAAGATGTCTTGAAATCTGAACAACTTGACACAGGACTCATCATACTGTCAGACTTTGAAGAGCCACCAACCAAGTATGGTATGATCTCCTCTCAGAGAAAAGAAAACTGTTCAGATCCACACAGACCCGAAACCAGGATTTTCCACTGTTCCGAATTAGGCTGTAATCAGCAGTTCTCCTCTTATGAGCTTCTGAAAGAACATATGGATCTAGATCGACATGTGCAAGAAAAAACCTCTACATTCGATGAAATTCGACATCTTTGGTCAGAGACATGTCATTCAAATTTGTTCAAGTCTAAACAGTTGCATCAAATAGGTGCAGAGTACCACTCCTTGGAAGATTCCAATTTATCAGGAAAAAAGCTTCCACAAGGATGGGCACTAAAAATAGCAAGAAAATTTGCTCGCTTCTCTACCAGAGTAAAAGAATTTCTCCAAAGAGTGTATCATGAAGGTGAAGAATCTGGAAGGAAAGCAATTCCGATTGAAGTAGCTCAGCGTATGAGATCTCTGAGAGATAGCAATGGTGAGAAGTTTTTCAGTTCTGAGGAATGGCTGCAGCCTTCTCAAATTAACTCTTATTTTGGTAGACTTTCTCTGAATGGAAAGGCCAGTGGTTTCAAGGAGGAACTAGAGAATGATGAACACCTGAGAGAAATCTTGCAGTCAATAGAAGAGGAAGAAGAAAGAGAAAACATAAGAAATACACTTTTGTTTGAGAATAGCAGCACTGTGTGATGTGAATGATATAACTGCATACAGGTAAAGAGAGAAATCTTGCAGTCAATAGAAGAGGAAGAAGAAAGAGAAAACATAAGAAATACACTTTTGTTTGAGAATAGCAGCACTGTGTGATGTGAATGATATAACTGCATACAGGTAAAGACGTCTGTATATTGATATTGTTAGCATTTTAGGGAATATACATGTATATTATGTGTCTGTGCATGTGCAAAAAATATTCATAAATTTTATGATGTTTAAACTTTTTGTACCAATCAAATAATTTATTGTTTGAAGGTTTTTTTCAAGTTTGTCATGGTAACAATTTGTGATGCTGCATAAGGTCATTCCAAGTTTTTTCTCTGTTTAGCATCCACCCATCTTTCAAAAACTTACCTACCTATTTACAAAAAAATGCGGTCTAAAATTAACCACAAATTTTAAAGTTGGAAAAATGATGCATTTAAAGGATATGATATATTAATCTATTTTTCTCATTGAATTATTCTGTAGGAAAATCAATGTTTTAAATGATTATTATATACCTAATTTGACAGATTATAGAAAATATATAAAGAAATTGACAGAATTCAAAGGTTTGTACCAAAAGAATCAATTTCAGGACTCCTGCTTTTGTTTTTTTTTTCTGATCTTCATTTTTGAAACCAAAGCACATGAGGATGCTAAACATATAAAAAACTTTGGATGGCCTAAAACTTTGAAAAACAAATTTTGTAAAGCTTGAATTCAGAAGAAAAAGGCAATTTTTTGTACAAAGTTTGATTTTAGGGAAACATAATTGTTTAAGCATGTAGCTTTGTTTGATTTTGGAAGGGGAAAAAAATTATGTCCAAATAAATAAAAGACTCAATGAATTTTTTGTTTTAAAAACAATGTTATAGCATAAATTTATTAAGTTTATTGCAATGAATAGATATTAACAACTACTATGATAACAAAAATATTTGTTTAAAAAAGTAGTTCTGGTACAGAAAAAAGATGATGTGTTCTTTTATTTAAAAAAAAAAAGATTCATCAAAAATCATGTTTGTTATATATGGTTATCAAACATTGCTTTATATATATTTAAAAGTAAATTATAGTCCATTGTCATGGTAACCAAAGATTGTTTTTGACATATATAATGATTATTTAAGATGAATTTTTAATTATGCTTATTTAAATGTGCTAGGTGACATATACAGCAGTTATTCTTTTTTCTGGCATTGTATGGATATATCTTTGTTATTTTCAATAAAAATGCATTTTAGACATATTCCGTTGCCATGGTAGCAAATTATCTATAAAACTAATTGGTTTAACTTAATTTTGCAATATATAAGATGTGTACTCCCTATTTTATATTCCCAAAATTCTTGCATAAGTGGTATATCTTCATTAACATACAACAAAAATGAGATGGTTTATGCTTTTTTTGTCAAAAAATGATTTTTTTCGGGAGATTTTGTTGCCATGGTAACAAAATATATTAAGAAAACCCATGGGTTTTATTTAATTTTTTAATTGTTCATAATGTGCACTTTCTAACATATATAATCAGAATTTCTGAATTTGTGGGATTTTTTCATAATATTCTGTTAAAATGTGCAAGATTTTAAGAAAAAATGTAAAAGGTGAATTTCATGAAACACAGCAAAATGAACTCAAATTTAACACTTTTTAGAAATGATGAACAATTTTAACAATATGGTAATAATTGAATATTTTTTATGTTACTTCCTGGGAAAAAAGATTCATTTGTGTTATTTTCATCGAAGAAGCACTGTTCCTTCATTAAATTATAGCTAAATTGACCAGTTTTGCTATTTGTTGCTTGCTAGCCTTTTACTATAACATGGCGTCTGGTTTCCATGGCAACAAAGGTTGGCCAATAAAATCATAGCATCCAATGACGTTCCATTGGTCCATAAAGCAACATATCCAAATTTCCAAAAAATCTGAGATGGTCATGAATCACCCCCTGCCTGGTTCTTACAAATAGCTGTACTTAAAGATAAAGTAAAGACATGGGAATTGATTTCCAGAATAACAGATGAGAAAATATTCAGATATAGGCTTTTCTGTGTGATTTCCAGTGTTTTATTTTTCTTAAAACAAATTTCATTATTGCATTTCATTTAAATCGTGGCATTCTTTTCCGTTAAGATATGTTTTTTCAAAGCTAGTACACAAAGTGATCAAAATATTTGAAACAACATGATAAATTTTCCTGACGCCTGTTGATATTGTTAATACTCTTGTATTATCAACTGATTTGTCAATATCCTGTATCGTTTTAAAAGTGTTCGCACGAAAAGCATTCTCTAGCGTAAACTCAATATGCAGGTGATAATTGTATATTGAAGCATAAATAAGGGAAGTTGATGACAGGAAATTCATAACGTTTATCTAAAAATTAATCTGTCTGTTTGCCATCAATATTTTCTCTAGTAGAACATTTAAATATAAAGCTGATATGACTCTCCAGTATAGGCATGAGAATTCAAATTCAATTTGGTTGTTGGGAACATTAAAATATTTGAAATTGGCATATGTTTTTGAAGAATTCCTTCCTTAAAAAGGGACAGTTGGGTGTACGTTGGATTACCACTTGTAGAATAAATTCAGGTTCCTCTGAATACTTAGCAATCAGCCCTACAAACAAAGAATATGTTGTTACCTGCTTTGTCAGCTGGAACCAGTACATATTGATCATGTAATCTATCTACTTCTTTTTCATTTCTGAATTATTGAATAAAAGAAGAATAAATGGTTTTTAATTTGCCCCTCAACCGTTTAACACAATATTTGAACATACATCTTATACTTTTAATTTATTCTGACCAAGTTTTACGGGATGAACTGTCCGTCAAATTCTAATTCTGGGCCAACCGTGAGTTGTCCTCTTATTGTTGAACCCAGATTCATAAAACCTCCAATAAGCCAACACGCGTTATAGTTTTAGTACTTTTATATAGAATCAGCATGGAATATACTTTTACATGAGCTTGGGATGTATCAGCACCGAAGGTCTGATTCCAACTGACTAAAAATTTTAACAACAAAACATACATACTGAACAAAGATAGGACAAAATAAAAGGATTAACAAAAAGTATAAAGAAATCAATTATCAAACAATTATTGAGCGACTGGTGACATTTTAGCGGCATGTATATAATAGAATTAAAGTAGATGAAAGATTCAGTGACAATAAATATAAACAGAAGTCAATTAGGAGATTAACTGTCCATGTCAGACTGCCTCAGGTAGGATTAAAGCTGTGCGGAATTTATAGAATTTATCACATTTGCCAAAATATACGAAAAGTTTTTATAACAATTTACACATAGTACGAAAAGTTAATTTACACAGTAATTTATAATTAGTCCGAAAAGTCGTATTTTACACCGTAACACATGCTCCGCCTTCGCGTAAAACACGTCCTCGTGTTTTGAATGTTCTTTCAATGAAACTGGTCTCTTCTTGGTCTTCCTTGACGTCTCCGTGGTTGATATCGTTGTTTATTTTCCACAAACAAGGCGAGCAAATGATCCTTTTCATCTTCCAATATTCGGATGGTCTGTAGCAGGGCGTTGTTTTCTTCCCTTAACTGTTTGGTTGTTTTCTCAGCTTCTGCCTGAATTTGCATTACATACTGATTATGTTCCTTTCCGATCTCGTTCAATTTCCTCTGCATCAAGTCCATAATCACTCTGTCACCGTGCGCGCCGTCTTCCAGTTTGCGAATTTTCTCACGATAGATGTTATCATTAGAATTGTTAGATTGTTCTTGCATCTTCTTTTTCATAACCATATTTTGATTTTGAAGCTTTTTGATTTCAGATTCGGCTTTTGTTAATTCGGCCGTCAAACTCCTTTTCTCTTTATTTGCATTGCATATTTGAATTTTTAGATTTTTCAGCTCAGTTCGTAGAACACACGAATTATCACATATTGAACGAAACTGACTGTCCCGAAGAGAACTGAATGGCAATTCTCGCAGAATTCGTTTATTTTCGAGATACTTGCACAGTCGTTTCATGTCTCGAGCGTTTTTCCTGCTAACAACCGGTCCCTTGTCTTCACTTTTTGGCTTTGTTTCTTTAATCCGTGTGAAGCACATCCTAGAATAATGTCCAATTCTTTGACATCTGTAGCACTTTTGGTTAAACGCGAAACATAAAACGTTAGGATGCACGTTTCCACACCTTCCGCACACTGGGTGCTGACATGAAGGGAAGTTGAACTTCTTCTGTCTCCACTGCGGTCGGAAAGAATATTCCATTGCTGGTCCTAACACGTGTACGTCTGCTTCATGTGTATCAGCACTGTCAAAACCGGGGGAAACTCGCTGTTTAGCTATTGTAGAGGTCCAGGATCTGACTACTACAAAATATATGTAGCAGCCCCGGGTGTCGTTACCCTTAGGTTTCTCACACCAAGTTTTACGGGATGAACTGTCCGTCAAATTCTAATTCTGGGCCAACCGTGAGTTGTCCTCTTATTGTTGAACCCAGATTCATAAAACCTCCAATAAGCCAACACGCGTTATAGTTTTAGTACTTTTATATAGAATCAGCATGGAATATACTTTTACATGAGCTTGGGATGTATCAGCACCGAAGGTCTGATTCCAACTGACTAAAAATTTTAACAACAAAACATACATACTGAACAAAGATAGGACAAAATAAAAGGATTAACAAAAAGTATAAAGAAATCAATTATCAAACAATTATTGAGCGACTGGTGACATTTTAGCGGCATGTATATAATAGAATTAAAGTAGATGAAAGATTCAGTGACAATAAATATAAACAGAAGTCAATTAGGAGATTAACTGTCCATGTCAGACTGCCTCAGGTAGGATTAAAGCTGTGCGGAATTTATAGAATTTATCACATTTGCCAAAATATACGAAAAGTTTTTATAACAATTTACACATAGTACGAAAAGTTAATTTACACAGTAATTTATAATTAGTCCGAAAAGTCGTATTTTACACCGTAACACAAGTATCAAGGTCTTCTGCCTTATATCTTACCCATTGTCTTGCATATTCGTCGACATAATTGATAATATTTATGAATTTTGTCGCCAGATGAAAAATCAGGGTTCCTTAAATTCTGGTCCTGATTTAAGGTCCTTATTGCAGTACTACTGCAGTACTAGTATTCAAAATTAATATTCCGCATTTGCAGGTCCCTAAGTATTTTGCTTCTAGTAATATGGGAATTTGCTATTGTCTGGAATCTTTCTCCGAACAGGCTTGAAAGAGTCACCAAGCGAGTGGCCAATTACTCAAATACCTTCATTTATGTCATGCATTGAAACGGGTTTTTTTTCTCTATAAACGCATTGTAAATATTTTAGAAAACCGTATCAAATACGTACATCTAAAAAAAAAAAATAATAACTCAATTCATTTACGCGTAAATGCTTTTTTCAATTGAACTATTTTGGCGTTATAGAGCATGTCAAGATATTTGAGTTTTTAGTGCCTAAACAATGAAGTCAATCTCAAAATTTTGAGCGCCACCTCTTCGTTCTTATCTTATTTCTACACAGGGTACCATCACCACTTGCAAAAGAAACCTTTCTTAGTACCAAATTTCTGTATCAATTAATTACTTTTTCGTTGCAAAAAGAATTAAAACAATATCATTTTTTTATTTTAAAAATACAAAAAAGTTTAACTCTGAAATTGGCCTACATGACCTAGGTGACGCTTTTTAAGATATGTTATCATAAATAGGAAAGTCCTAATTTCTAACCTACCTGCATGTTTATCTACCTAAGGACACCCGGGTCAGATAATCCTATCCCCCAACATGTCCTCGTCAACAATAAACCCAGACCTAGCCCGGGAGAGGGCTGGAGCCACATTTGACTGTGAAGAGGTGACCAACTTTTTATACCGTGGACCCGATAATGTACGCAAACGTCGTTATTTACGTAAGTCCCAGGAAAATTTTGTATAGAAAATCGTGAATTTGATGTATTAGTGTATGTTTCTGCATGTGAAATGAAACAAAAAAATGCAACAAATGTAATGCAATATACAGAATCGCTACGAATGTATCCATAGCATTCAGTTAAGCACTTTGTACTTGACTTTGTTACAAAATCTGAATTTACAATTTCTATTCCATTAATACGTGCTGGTGCATTTGAATTTGATTCACTTAGCTGATTTGCATAAAAATGGGCAAAGGCGGATCCAGGAAAGGAGGGGAACTATAACTCCATAACTGGTTAAAGAAAATTTTCACACACACACACACACACACACACACCCTCACACACACATCCTTGTGACTTTACTTGGGATTGGGTCCAAAGCTACTGCATTATACAAATCTAATAACTTTAAAAATCTACCGATGACCTTGATCTACTTCAAATTTGGCACATTTTGTGAAAAAAATTATATAGCACAATTATAAACTTGGTTAATTTTCCACCTACGTGTCTATGTCCAAAACGTTGAATTTTTTAATAGCAGTTCCTCAACCGACTAGTCAGAAGATATGGTCTTACATTGCTCATCAGTTTCATTATATAAAAGATGAAGTTACAGTCACATGTTTCTGTTTAATATGTATGTACATAATATGTACATACATATATCACAGAATCATGCTTCTTATTAACGTAAAAGATCAATAACATGATTATATTTTTGTTTCGAAAATATTGTATGACAAAAAATTTCATTTTACCTCATGTGTGTTGTGTTAAACTACGAGTGTTCTTCTTATCATACAACAGACAATGCAGCCATTCAAGACCCAGTACTTAGTGGAGCCAAACCCTGGGCTTTCCAAGACAGGAATGAACAATACGAGACAGCTTTGTGGAAACATATTTACATATTGAAAAAATTAGAAGAAATGGGCGTCACCGATCCTGCAGAGAGATTTTACTTCACAGAGTATGTGAAAATATATTTAATACAAATTGTTTCACAACAAGTCAAACTATTTACACCAAAAAAACCTGTATTTATTTTGAAATAATTAATAATCATGTTTTTATAAATTGTGAATTTTGTTCTTATCAAAACAAAACAATAGCTAGAAAGAGTATTCAATATGCAAATATTACGAAAACAACAAAAATATTGGATTAAATTATTCTATTTTTGTCTGCACAAAAAGCCAAAGAAAGATTCCTTGATTTTAAGGGCTGGAGCTCCCCAGGAGTATAGTCCCCTTTCATTGCATACGGGCATGTTTATACCATCCATTGAGAAACAAGGGACAAAAGAACAAATAGAGAAATGGCTCCCTCTCGCAAGAAGTCTTCAACTGATTGGAACCTACGCTCAAACAGAAATGGGTCATGGTATTGAAAAAAACAACTCTCAATGCAATCAAGAATCGTTGTACATTAATGTTGAAGATCTTCATTATCATTATTAGTTAACTTTACTATAATAAATTGATCATGCAGAAAATAAACTTAATTTCGAAAACATTCTAAGTAGAAAATATGCACATAAATGCACATCTAAATTATATACATGTATTACAGAATATGTCATATTGACCAAACGCGCAAATCGAATCGAAAAAGGGTAAAAATAATGTTTGCTTAAAATAAATTAATAACTTTATAGTAAATTTTAGGTACCTTTATTAGAGGACTTGAAACAACAGCTACGTATGATCCTTCTAAACAAGAGTTTGTGCTGAACTCTCCAACTGTGACGTCCATGAAGTATTGGCCAGGAGGATGTAAGGTTCTACAGTATTATATTACAGGGGTCTGACATGCGATATACCCCTCTACATCCATGCTTTTAAAGTATCAGATGTAAATAAGTATGCCTATATTGTGTAGTGCGACGGGTGTTTATGAATGAAAGTGTTTGAAAACCTGCTAATTTTGCCTCTCAGTACTAGTCATATGTGGTATTTTTCATGATCATTCAGTGGGGAAAACGTCCAATTGCTGCCTGGTAATGGCCCAACTGATTACCAAGGGGAAAAGGGAAGGCATTCATCTGTTTTTTGTTCAGCTTAGAGATATGAAAACACACCAACTTTTACCAGGTAACATATATTACACCAGCACTTAAAAATTAATCTTTACATGACGTTTAACTAAAATTTTCTGAACTTGTATTTGTAGGGGTAGAATCGGGGGACATTGGAACAAAATTTGGATTTGGAACAAACGACAATGGGTACCTAAAGCTGACCAATGTCAGAATTCCCAGAGATAACATGCTAATGCGATATGCTAAGGTTAACACTTGCTAAGCATCATGTAACTTGTAGAAAAAACATGTCTGTATTTCGCTTAAGCTTCTACTGAATATCCAAAAAATCAACGTTTTACACCTAAGATTGAACTGTATGGACGGAACAGAAACTGGCTTCGGGGCCATAAAACTTAGAAGAGCTCAATTTTGATCTAAGGATCACTTTTCCTCTGTAATTTCCTTTGGCAAAAGTGAGACTGAGATTGAAAGTGGGCTCGTCTAAATTGTATGGCCCCAGAGCCAGAATGGTATTGAAAACTTTGAACCAATTTACCAAATATTAATTTTTCGAAGTGTTAACCCTACTGAGCAACTTCTAAGGATTTAATTCAAAGGGAAACCCAGAAAAAGGGAACATTCAAATATCCTTTGACCACAGTTTAAGCATTAAAAAAAACTCATCACAAACAAAGGGAATCAACTATCACTCGGTAACAACATAACCATTCCCGCTTCAAATAGATCACATGATGATTTTCAGGCTACATAAAATGTAATTTGATTCAAGAAACGAAGTCTTCCGTTGATATACATAGAATTCAATTTTCCTTATTTTCATTACTTTGATTCCATAGATAGCTTTTGTCGTTGTGTTTTATTCATTTGCCGATATATACTACAGCTTATTTGCTGAACTGCGTACTTTCTACAGTAGTCTTCACTATAGTAAACGTCACTGTTTTCAGTCTTAACAATATAACGTAAAGAGAATGACATTATATGCGAACACTCTCTCAAAAGAGCAGTTATGTGTTTTTCAAGATTGAAATCCAAACTTCGATAATTTTTTATTTGTTTTTCCTACTTAATATAGGACTAGTTTTTCTATCTATGCAGGTTCTTGAGGATGGAACGTTTAAGCAACCAGCCAATCAGAGAATAGGATACGGGACGATGGTTTATGTCCGGGCTCGGATTGTTACTAACAGTGCCCGTGGGTTAGCCCAGGCATGTGTGATTGCAATTCGTTACAGCGCTGTGCGTCGCCAAACTGAAGTTTCTCCAGGGTAAATTAATTTTGGTTTCAGTATTATATTCTCCTCAATTTTGTTGCTACGTAATATGCTTGTCCTCCCATATGTATAATTACTATATCTGTTTGTTGGTCACAAAATCAAACGTGGGCCATAACTTTGAAACCTTGACGGGAAACATTTTTACTTAAGTGTGTTGTTAATTCACTAACAGAGAGGTGTATCATTTTCTACACAAGGTCAAATCTCAAAAGTAAAGTCAATGTGAGCAATGAGATGTTGAAAGGTATTCGGGCCATAACTTTTGAACCATGACTGGGTTGGACTTTTAGAATGCTTTTTACCCGTGACCTAAAGATAATCTATCTTAATACTTTATATCACAAAGGTCAAGTTCACTGAACAATTTGATCTGGAAATCATCTTGCGTAATTATGGAGACATTAATCTAATCAATTGATATTTGAAATTATAGAGCTGATGTAATATTTCACGCCATCCTCGCTTTATAGGTCTGTAAATCACTGGTCAAAAAGAAATTAGGATATACGGACTAAATGGCTACAGATCCACCTACTGAAAAAAAATGGGTCGAGATTTATGTCTCTGAACTTAAGCTGTAATCTAAAAATGTTACTGACGTCTCTATATGAGTGAAAAATTCTCGAACGGGATGTAAAACAACATACAATAAATCACAATAAATCAATCAATCAAAATGTTACTAACCGTGTATTCCTATTATTCTCCATATTTTTTTAAGATCATATACAACAAACATTCCCCAAAAACGTTGTTTAAAGCCCTCCTGTGCATGAAATTGAGATCATGAAAAATTTCTACTATTTTGGGTGGGATTACAATTCTCTCCATTTTCATATACTACTGTGATATTACAGTATGAGTCCAACGTTTTAAGAAAGATCATATTTATGTAAACTTTTTCGGAACAAGAAGGCATTATTTTGTATATTAAATTATCTTTTTATACTGTGAATTGCTTTTGGTGGTATCATATCACCCAATGTCTGGTGAATTAATGTCCTATAACTTCTTGTTAAATGATTGAATGTTAATAATTTGAATTGTGTAACTGATTAATTTTGGTAATTTTGATAATTCTAACAGAATCTGATTAAATTTTTACAGAGGAAGTGAAGCACAGATTATCGATTACCAAACTCAGCAGTACAAATTATTCCCTCTTGTTTCCACTGCTTATGCTATGTATTTAACTGGTAAATATGCTGAAGATTACTACGAGGAAATAGCATCGGAAATAGAAGCTGGAAACCTAGATTCCTTAAATCAGGTATGCATGTATCATTGTGACATTTTCACGATGATACCATCTTCATATCCCTCCATCTTACACCCCAGTCACTAGCAACTTTAGGATTTGTTTTGTTGTAATGAATTTTCGGATTGGACCTAACATGTCACATGCCAAGCAATTTTTTGTACATCAGCATCCGCTTAAACTTGGACATACATCGTCCTTCGCTTGACCAGCGTCCGTTATGAGTAACAAGACTGATTGATTGTTTTGTTCGGCAGATCACTGGTTTCTAAACATCGGCCGGCGTATACAAATTGGATTGGAGTCTCCTGAAAGTGTTGACATGGTCACCTTGAAAACGGGTCTTAAGGTGGCCCAAACTGCAACCCATTGATAGGTTATATTTGCCAACAAGGTCATTATAAAAGCCATAGAACCTACATGTGTACGAAATGCTGCCTTTAAATGAGGTTGTTGAATTCCCTGTAATATCAATTTATCTGTCAGTAGCCTGCCTCGATTTAAAAATTGATCGTATTCAGAGCATGAGTATGGAATAAGTATGGAAACCATATGCGTTTTTATAGCGAAATATTACTACATAAATAAGAAAAATCGACGGTGGAAAAGCTGAAATCATCTCATAAGATAACAATCAACAAAACTCTATATCTGTTAATGGAAAGAAAATGACGGACTATCGTAGCTACCATACACTTAATGTACATGTTCTTTACAACAATGGGAAATGGTGCATCGAATCACTGTAACTTTTATTTTTGGAATTCTATTACTCTTCCTCAATTCAAGATTTAAAAGAAATTTTAAATTGTTTATTGTCTAGCTGCATGCTGTGTGCGCGGGCTTGAAGGCGTTCAGCACGTGGAACTGCACAGCAGGAATAGAAACGTGTCGTTTATGTTGCGGGGGACATGGGTATTCCCACGCCAGCGGTCTGCCAAAGCTGTACGTCTTTTATACGCCCGGTTGTACATACGAAGGAGAGAATAATGTTATGATGCTTCAAGTTGCAAGGTGTGTTTTCAAAAATAATTATAGATACTACATAGTTTATCACAGAATCTGCAATGTACCCTTACATCATGTAGTGTAGTGTATCCAGAGAGTGATATATCATATGAATTTAGGTTTCATTTTATCCATTTGATAAACTTAACAAATGTATAGATGACTCCCAGTTATCCCTTGGTATGCAAAACATCGCATTCTTTATCATTTCTTTTAATTTTTTTGTCACTTGACTTCGCACTGGAAAAAGTCTCCATCATGTTTCGGATATTTCTGAATATATAATCATGATATCTTCATGATATTTCAGATTCTTGATGAAAATCTACCCTGATATAAAGAAAGGAGTACCTGTTCATAAATTTGTAGAGTATTTAGGAGCTGATCTTAATCAGAAATCTTGCATGACGAAGGAGGTGGCCCTCAACTGTCTCGTTAAAGCTTACGAGCATCGGGCAGCTAGGTGAGTTAAATTTCTGTCCTGTGAAAAAAAAGACGTCTGAAAAAAATCTAAATTATGCTTACTCAGGTCGTGTAATATTTATCAATAAATATGCATGTATAACTATGTGCATTGGAGGGACATTTTATTTCTTATAGATTTCAGTGTTTTAACGATAGCATAGTAGAGCAGCATGTGAAGAATAAATGACCCGCCCCTTTCAACACATACACAAGATAACTAATTAATGTAAAGCAAAAATATCAACTTTACATATTTATACCAGGTTTCCTTACAAAACTCCATTCCTATATTTTCATTTACACCATCCAAAAAAGTTATACGAGCTATTTTGTGTATACTTAGTAGTTCAGTATCTGTCAGTATTTATCTCATTTAAATGTCTTCTTGTAGATTGGTTTCAGAGGCTGCTCTTTACATTGAGAAGTTTGAAAGATCGGGGATATCTCGTCAGGAAGCGTGGAATGCATCGACTGTTGTTCTTACATGGGCTGCAAAGGTTCTAATACTAACAGTCTATAAATAGTTAATTATTAAACAATGATGTTTGTTGAGCAATTGCAATGGATAAATACAATTTATCGAGTGACTGAGCTTATTTTCATTCCGAGTTTCATTTTCTAGGCTTACTGTCATACTTTTGTCGTCCAAACGTTTTCTCACATTGTAAGTAATGCTAATGTAGACAAGACGACAAAAGATGTCCTGATGGCTCTCTGTAGGCTTTATGCGGTTCATGGAGTCGTCGAGAATCTTGGAGAATTTATTCAGGTAAAATGTACATGTATACCGGAACATAACAAAATTTGTCACTTTCATCATATTACTCAAAATCACCATTTTGCAAATTCGGTGAGCAATATATAGACACTGTTTGCAAATACAATCCAATCTTTCGTTAGGTCCAATGTTATTTGTTTTTAAAAGACAAATTGTTAGGCTACACCCGCGCAGTGAGTTTTTTTTATATTGATCGGATACACAGAGTAGTCCGTAGACTATTTGATATAAAAGTATTGACCACTATTTTTATACTGAATTTTCAACAGATTACTCTGCTTACATGATCAAAACTAAAGTCTCAACGCAGATGTCACAGATCGACAGGGGTACTTACTTCTCCATAGCACCTGATCCCAAATCCGATGTTTTCAGAGGCCCGTGTTTGCTCTGCTCTCGATTTGTACTTTTAAATTGGACACTTAAGCGCATGATTACTGTTGTAATCTCGTCTAAATTTCTTCCAAGAAACTGATGAAAAAACTGATTTAAAGTACCATGTCTGGTCATTGTTAAGAAGTACATGTAGTCAAACTGAAAAGGTAAAAATAACGTACAGTCATCCATATCATAAATCATATAAGAAATACGAATCATGAACAGGGTAAACACATGGTTACCTGGTAACATCAGAAGTGGGATCTGGTGCCTAAAAGGAGTACGCATTCCTTATCGACCGTTCCTGAGCTCGTTGTATTGCTCAGTTAAACGTAGTAATCAAAATCGTATAAAAACAATGGCGTAATAACTGGTAGGTATCATTTCAGTCAAAATACGACCTAAGTATAGGTTGCAAACAAGTTTATTATAATGACAATAGAATTTGTGAAGTGTTGGTTTTAATGAGATTGTTGAAAGTCCTTTAACAGCAACTTATTTGTCTGAAGCCAATCTCGGTTTAAAAATTGATCGTTGTCAGAATATAAGAGTATAAAAACAGGTCAGCTAGTAAAGGCACCCGATAAGGACAATCGAAATTTCAGCAGATTGTTGGAAGACCTGGCATCCAAAGACTATATAGATATTGTGAAAGAGGAACTCCAGTATCTTCAGAGGGAGAAAGACAAGAACTCTTATCGGAGGACTTTGTTTTAGATGGTCAATATCTAGGCACATAGCGTTTGTTTATAGGATGCAACAGTTGGGGAATATCTGTAGGGACTTATAGTATAGTGGAATTAATGCAAGACTGACCTTTTTATGATTAGAATGTTACTAATGTGTACAGCATCTATATCTTTGTTGAGAAGTTTATGCTTAAGGAGCCCACTTATTTATTTACTATATCTTCCTTAGCACGTGGCACTTTGGAGAGCTGTAATGGGCAACATCTATCTTCACAAACACTAGCCTGTATTCCATGATGAAGAATTCAAGTATGGGCTTTAGCTTCTTCGAATAGTCCATTAAATAATGTAGCATCTAAGTCAAAAGGTTTAATAACTTATTCTACCCTCAAAAACCAAAGTCAATACCAAGTGCAGCCGGGTTGGCAATGGTTTTCGAGGGGTGAAAAATATTCATATCATATTTGAATATTTTGGACCAAATTTGTCAGGAAAGAATTCAAACTTTGGAATATGGCTGTTCATAGCCATGTCCTGGTCTTGGGGTTAACATGTACTATCACCAAGTCACTGTGTCATGTTTAAGCGTTAAATTAGGTGGTGTGGACAAAGTTCTGTTTATGCTCCAAAACATCTATTTTCATTTTCTTTGCAGGATGGATATTTTGGCCCTCTGCAAGTCTCCATTCTTCAGAACAAACTTGCAGACCTTTTGGCTGAGATCAGACCCAATGCCGTTGCCCTAGTGGACGCATTTGATTATCCCGACAAAATTTTGGATAGCTGTTTAGGCCGGTATGATGGCCAAGTGTACCGGGCTTTATACGAATACGCCAAAAGTTCCCCTCTCAATAACAAAGAGGTACTCATTTTGATGTCATATGAATATAAGATCTCTCATGGTTTGTGGTTGGATATGTTTTTGTGTTTTCTATCCCCGAGCATTGGCCAGGGGATAGAAAACATACAACGAGTTGAATGAAAAAAAATCAGATCCTAGCACAAGCCATGGGAGACTCTTTTTATCGCGTTTTACACACAGTTTTTACATGTTTTACCATGTTCTTCAGAGATGAACTCACTTTATTTGACTTCACCACTTTCACGCAAAACGATTGTAATATCACATCTGTTGATTTGAAAACGATATCATATGACCGTATCAACTGTACATAAAGGAGTAAACATGCGATAAATAACAATGTACGTTTGAAGTTAGAAATTTCAGTTTGACACACGTGATGGACATCATGTTATCCGGGCCTTTTGACCTGTAAAATACATGTATTAATAATTAATAATTATAAATAACATCATCATTATTTATGTCTTTGGTTTGGCGGAGAGAGAAAAAAGACGAAATTCAATTATTTTGCAAGATGGTAAATCATATATATATATATATCAATTCGTGCATATTATATTGTTACCCTTGAGTACATTTTTTCCTTTAAATTTTAGACAAATGTACTTTAACAGGTTTTGGATTCTTATCACAATTACATCAAACCCGCACAAACTGGACGAAGTGAACGACATCCAATGGCTAGACTATAAGTTCAAGCAGAGATCCAAAAGTGATAAAATCTGTTCTCATTCCTAATAAAAATAATTCACTCCATTAAGGAATTATCGAAATGTCACCGATGTTTCTGACTATTAAATTATTCATATGACAGTTTATTCAGAGCAATATTTATGAATATATAAAAAATGGAAATGTAACAATAAATGTTTTGTTTTTTAAATGTTCTCGTTGCTTGTATGTTTGAATATATGAATACAATAATGTAATAATATTTTTAGATAATAAAATTATTAAGTAACTTTGAATTTGAAAATCTCTCTTTTTTGTGTGATGAAATATCTATTTTTTAACTTAATAATGCATGTATTAAAGTAAATGTAGATGCATAAGAATCCAAAGAAAACAGTTTATATTTTGCTATGGGAAATTGGAACCCCCAAATTTCTTTCCGAACAGAACAGAAAGTAGAAGGTGCACAATGACACAATGTAATAAATATTGTGTGCAAGTCTCGTTAATTTCTATTCTGTCGTATAGGAAGAGTTGCAAATAAGAAATGGGAACCCCAACTATGATGGAAAGAATGACAGTGCCCATGTTTTGTTATCGGAAACCCCAAATGCGTGTCCGATCGAAACGTAAAATAGAAGATGCACAATGCCGCTATGTAATAAAGATTTGGTGAAAGTTTCATTAAATTGCATTTAGTGGTGTATAAGAGGAATTGCAGATAAGGGATGGCTCCCCCAAAATGTTACAGACTAAAGGACGTGCGGACGGTCACCCCCAATTACAACATACCCACCACTTTTTCAAGTGGGGGAGGGGATTTAAAAATCGTTTTAAAATATCACAGACAACTTTTTATTGTTATGTTGTTTGTTTATCAGAATGTTGAAATTTCAAGCTTTTTTCAATGTCATTAATTATTGGTACCACTAAGTCTTTCATGACATAGATTTTCCTTTGCATATTTTTTGCCTTTAGACTAACAAAGATGAATCCTAATTTTTATCAGTAAAAAGCATTCGTTAATTTACTTTCTTTGGTAAATTCTATTAAATGTTCGGATTAACATTGATGTCAATGGTGTGGCCATTTTCGTGACTTTTTTCCTAAATCAAAAATTTGTCTTTTCACGTGCAACGCGTGACATATGCAGAGGTAGTCTTACAATTAATTATGCAGATATTCCAGTGAAATATACGTTTAAAAGTTTTGATTTTTATTTTTAATAAGAAAGTTAACATTGCTTTTGAAAAGTACTGGTATGATGTAAATACCGTCGCAACAAACTCGAATATAGACAGAAAAATTGTTATTTACCAGCACTATTTGAACTAAAGAACACCAATAAGGAAATCTACTCAGCAAGAGATGTATTGAAACATTACACTTCAGAGATTGCGAGATCAGAATTAATATACATTCTCTACATATTATCAATATATTCGAGAAGTGGTGTAAATCAGATGTGGATTCTTAAAAATTCCAAGGAAATTTTAGAAAGTTTGAAATCACAAAATATTACCAAAATCAATAACATCAAATCTTACGACCTTTCAACTATATGTACAACCATCCCCCACGATAAATCAAAGGCCAGACCTTTTGACATAGTAGACAGCTGCTATTTCAATAAAAATGGAACTCGTAAATTAACTTATCTCGTCATTTTCAAAATTATTTTGTTAAAAAACATTCTGATTGTACACACAAGTACTCTGAAGTTTGATATTAAAAAGATGCTTGAATTTCTGATTGACAATATCTATGTGGTTTTTGGAGACAAGGTCTTCCAACAATCAGTTGGAATTATCACGAGTACTTATTGCGCCCCGTTATTAGCAGACCTATTTTTGTATTCATATGAACCATAATTTATTCAAAATCTTATATATGTGGAGAAGAAAACACATGATGTGGCTCCAACTCGACATTTAGATATATCGACGACGTATTATCATTTAACAATGGTTATTTCCATTCATATGTGGACACGATATATCCCAGTGAGTTTGAAATAAAAGATACCACAGAGTCTGACACATCTGTTTCATATTTGGATATTTTATTAAAAAAAGATGTTATAATGGTAACCTAACAACTAAGCTTTATGATAAACGTGATGACTTTAACTTTTCAGTCGTCAACTTCCCTTACTTATGCAGTAATATACCATTATCACCGGCATACGGGGTTTATATCTCTCAGTTGATTCGATACGCAAGAGCATGCTCTACGTATGAACAAAACGAGGTAAATTACTGACAAACAAGTTAATGAAACAAGAATATCAGTCTCGTTTAAAGTCATCATTTTGTAAGTTCTATGGTCGATACAATGACCTTGTCAGCAAAAACAATCTATCATTAAGTCAATTACTGACTGACGTTTTTCATGCAGAGTGTTCGGCCAAAATTTACACACTGAATTGTCTACGGATTTTTCCTTTTTTCCCAATCATGCCAAGGAGGACACGATGGGTGTGACCGGTCAGCAGGGGATGCTCACTCCTCCATGGCACCTGATCCAACATTGATGTTTTAGAGGTTCATGTTTGCTCTGCTCCTGATTTGTATTTTTTAAATAGACTTTTGAGCTTGAATACTGTTCGTTATCTCCATAGATTTCATTTCTTTAATGGGGTATGGACACGGGGTTTTTTTTTTATTATATTCTTATTAAAATCTTCGGTAGAATTTCATTACTTCCGTTGTCACAGCATTTCAGACAAATATACATGCATACGAATTTTAGTGTGTGGAAAAACTTCTTTTATCTAAAATTATTCATTAATAGGTAACTTTGGGAGTGTTTTGATTGACTTTCAAGTATATCAAAATTATATTGATGCCAGAAAAGAGTTTTTTGCAATTTGCTAAAATTAACATTTTAGATACACGTTTTATTGTGGGGAATAGATTAACTAAGTGCTGCAGAGAATGAACATCTTTTCTCTTCTGTCAAAAATTATTATAAAGTATTCTGGTAAATTTTATATATATATATATATATATATATATATATATATATATATATATATATATATATATATATATATATATATATATATATATATATTGATTTCTTGGGAGATCGTAATAAGATTTTGGAACTTGTTTCCAATCCATTAATTTTTTTTTATTTATGGATTACAGTAAAATGTTATTATCTTCAAACCAATAACTATAGATCTAACATTTGCAGGAACCTGAACCACAGCTTTATTAGAAATACATTATGTATTTACTTGCATTAAATTCTGACTTAGCGATAACGACAAGATAAGTTTTGCAAAAAATGATCTGAGTGTTTACACATACTTTAATCATCGTTACACAAATTGACCCAGGTAGAAATATATAGGTTGCGTCTCGTAGTCTGCCATTATTAATATTCTGCTACTATGTCGTCTGCCACCGTCAATCCTGATCTGGCTAGAGAGAGGAGAGGGGCGACATTTGATGTGGAAAAGTTGACAAACACAATATATGGAGGATCAGAAAATGTCAGAAGACGTCGATATTTACGTGAGGAGATTTTATTATTTTTTTTTCTGCTTGTTTCGTTCTTTTTAGTTTTGTTGTTCAAAAGGTCGCGAGAATGAACATGTTGAATGAATTGAAACAGCAACTAGTACGTTTCACCTCATTTCCCTTCTTTAGGCAATGTCTATCAATGTTTACGAACTATCAATTGCAAACTTGCAAAATAAAAATTTCCAGAAAGTATGGCCGACCATTTATGTTTAATTTAAATTTTCCTTCTGATTTGAAGATAATTTGGCTATTCAAGACCCAAAGCTTTCTCATTCAAAACCCTGGGCATTTCGATCACGAGAGGAAGAGTACGAAACATCGCTTTGGCAAAACCTTTACCTTTTGAAAAAAATGGAGGAAATGGGACTTAAAAATGAATTGGAGAGAATGTACTATTTAGAGTAAGTCCATTAGCAGAATAAGCAAGAGTTGATTGACAAATTAAGAATTTCATTTATTTGCGAATATTTAAGTTATAAAACGTCGAAATTATTTGCCGTTCAATAAGGATTGATGACGTTTTGTTACAGGATTTATATTTTGTTTTAGTTCCATCAAGACGAACCATACTTACTTATCCTTAATACTTGTAGGGCTGCTACCCCGTCTCAGGCAAATGCTGTCGGTGTACACTACGGTATGTTTATCCCTGCCATTGAAAAACAGGGAACGGAGGAACAAAAGGCAAAATGGCTTCCGCTAGCAAAAAGTTTGAAGATCATTGGGACATACGCTCAAACGGAACTTGGTCACGGTAATTTTGTAAGATTAATACGCATGTCACATCGGGGTTAATTAAAAGTTGTCTGAAAACATAAAAAACAATCTGCAATAAAAACACAGGCCGTGTGAATTAATTTTTATGTCTCACCATTGGTTAATATCTTGCCAAATCTCATAATGATATCTTGAGTGACGAAATAGTTATTCCTCAAAATGATGCTAAAAATGTCAGGGGTGCAACATCTTTCTGTGGCATTTTGAAAAATTCCTATTTTGTGAAGATCTGACAAAATAATAATAGTAATGATAATTATAATAATATAAATCATTCATGTTAAAAATAAGGACTTTTCTGATAAAATTCGATATTTGTATACTGAGTTTCAAATTTAGACTGAGTAACTTTGTTTTATTAACATAGTAATGGTCAAAGCTGGTGCTGAAAAAATGTTATACCATCTCAGGAGTGCAATAGAAAAAATGTAATGGCACCAATAACATTGATTTTAAAGAGCGTTAAAGAACAATGAAGTCATTTTTTTCCAAAATGTTGAACAGTGGATGATATAGGCCTATCATTTGAAAGCTTTGAATGTTTGATGAATTACAAGCAGCATTTCATAAAGACAAGTATCTATGTATACCTATTTATTTCAGGAGTGCAACAATTGGCGGTTTGCTCCCCAGCTTGTAAAATCTTTCATCAGTGCATAATTAATTCGGAAAACAAAGACCCAAATAACATTTTTTATCCATAAATCTATCAAATACAAAATCTGTCTGTTTTTCAGATCCATATTCCAACTGTCAGGAGTGCAACACCCTTTTTTTTTTATTAAAAAAAAGAAAAAGATGGATTGTTGCAAGTGTTATTTTTATCAACTGTCTTTTCTTCAATTCTATCAATCCAGATGTATTTATATCCTTTTTTTTAGTTTTTATTCAATGAAACTTAAAAACAAAAAAAACGAAAAATTGTTACAATTTAAGGTAATTCCACAACAACTTCGCAAATTGTACTGCAGTCAGGAGGGCAACAAAATTGTCTATATATTATCAATGACTTTCATATCTCTTTACAACAAGATAAGTTGCAAGGCCTGCCTGATACTACTTGTAGTTGCTATCAGTCTTTGTTTGTTGTAAAAATACCAATATTTTGAACATTTTACAGCCAATTTACAAAAGTTTTCATCACTTTACATGTTTTTTTTAAAAATAATATATAATAATAATATTCTTTAGTCAAAATAATATCAAAAACTTGCCATTAATGTTTCACAATTTTAAAACAATGAATTTCTCTACAAAATTTGAATGAGTTATTGTGTGTTATGAGTTTAAGATTATTTTTGTTTAAAAAATAACAAATCAGAAGTGAGGAGTGCAACAAAATGAGGCAAAATAGGATCACTCTTTAAAATTACAATATAAAAATTTCTTTGCTCTATTTTTTCAGCAAAGACTAAATTGATGAAAAAAAAAGTAATTTGTTGGGAAATATTTATAACACAGGTTTTCCTTTTCCTTTTTAAAACTTTTCAAACCAATATTGAGAAAAATAATGAAAAATATTAATAAAAAATTCCAATTCTTTCACAAGTACAAGAGGAAAAATTCATTTAAGGTTTAGATTTTAATCATTTACATGTATATCCCTCAAATTAGATTTTTTTTTCAGAAAGTCTTGAAAGATGTATTAATATTTTCATTTTCAAATAAAAGTTATGTTAATAAATAATTCTGAAACTTTTTTTTCACGCATTTGTCTTTTCTATTGCCATTTTGGATTTTTTTTAACTAGTATATATATACAATATGATGTTATAACTGAAAAAAATGTTCGGGCAAATTGAATTTGTTAAAAAAAAAATTCGATTGGCCGGTCATTATTTTTTAATTCACCCATAGATACAGTGGGGCATGTTATTGGTCATGTCAGAATAATTCTAAATTTTGATGAATTATTTTCAGGGACATTTATACGAGGACTAGAGACCAATGCTACATACGATCCCAAAACAAAAGAGTTCATATTGAATTCTCCAACAGTTACTTCAATAAAGTACTGGCCCGGAAATTGTAAGAAAACCGTTAGTTTGTCTTTGTGAATGGCTAAATTTGTCCTAGAATACTGAGAACATTTCTTACTTTTGATACCTTCTTGAATTTAAGTGGGAAAAACTTCAAACGTTTGTTTGGTAATGGCTCAGTTAGAGACGCAAGGGAGACGGCACGGAATTCATTTGTTTCTGGTGCAGCTTAGGGATCTTAACACACACAAGTTATTGCCAGGTATAATTCTGGTTTCGTACATTTTCAGATAACGTGATGCTGATAAATATGCACATGTTTGGTCTGTTATATTATTATTCTGGAGATTTGCTTCTTTAATGTAATAAGGATCCAGTAGAATAATGATTTTCTCTGCTTTAACTTATTTCTCTCCTTGATAATTAAAGGCGTGGAGGCAGGAGATATTGGTCCCAAGTTTGGTTTTAATGGTAATGACAATGGCTTTTTAAGATTAGAAAATGTCCGAATACCACGAGAAAACATGCTGATGAGATATTCAAAGGTACACAACTCTATAAGGCAAAAAAAAAAAAAAATGGTATAATCACTCTTTTCAGCTTGAACGAAATAACGATAAACCAGATGTTTTAGATATCTGAAAGAGATAAATTAAAACTGCATACTAAGTACAACAAAAGATTTGTGCCTTTTTTAAAATCTATTTTCAAAAGTTTCCTTCCTAAAATTATTCGTTTGTCAACATTTCCCACTTCAAAGGAATATTATATCTAAATATGACATTTTGTTTTTTAAATTGTCTTTTATGGTTGCTGTGTACAATGCTTAAAAGAAATTTTGTCCACTTTTTTTGATAGGTACTAGAGGATGGTACATATATAAAACCTCCGGACCAGAGAATAGGATATGGCACCATGGTTTTAATTCGAGCCAAAATTGTTGGTACGTTTTCAAAAGTTTTGGCAATGGCGTGTGTTATAGCAGTACGATACAGTGCAGTTCGACGTCAAACGGAAGTCTCCCCAGGGTAAATTTAATATACCGAAAAATAGGATGTAGATTGTACAAAGTATTAAAGGATAAACAAGAACACAATTAAGGACTTTAAATTTGTCGTCGATCAAAGTATTAAAGTCAGAAGAAAAAAAATCTATTTGAATAATTTTAAGTCATGATAAGTCATGATCAGATAATGGAACTGATTGCCTGATTGATTTCAGTGGAATAGAGGCACAAGTAATAGACTACCAAACTCAGCAATACAAGTTATTTCCATTAGTGGCAACAGCTTACGCAATGCATTTCACTGGGAGATTCATCATGGGTTACTATGCAAAAGTTTCTTCTGAAATCGACGCTGGTAATCTGGAGTCGATGAATGTAGTAAGTTTATCATAATTAATAAATTATCGTTTAAATCCATTTTTTTTTTTTGTAAATGTGTAAAAGATGTACCTGAGTGCTTCCTGAGATAAAAGCCAGGCTAAATTCTCTATCAGGAAAGCCAAAATTTTGTTTTGTTGGGAGAAAGAACAATACAGTTACTGGTATATACCAATCATCAAACATAAAAATGGGGAAGGAGGGTCTTTAATTTTCCCATATTGTGTTGATCATGCACGTTTTGTCTCAATTTTTTACATATACCCCTCGCGTGCATGTACATGATTTGCACTCGTAAATTTACATTTCCAACTGTTTTCTCTGTGATAACTCTTTGAAAGTTTAGTGTGTTCATTTCTCGATATTTACAACTATATGTAAATTTCGTCAAGTTAAAGGTCAAGTGCCTAATATTCCACGTTTCCAACTGTCGTTAATGTCCTGGCATACCCAACAAACTAGACGGTTATTCCTTAAATTTATAGACATTTTATGTCATAATTACAAAATACTGTGGTCGACATGAGCCATTGGTTTCTTTATATGTATTTTTATATACCAACCTTTGCATTTAAAGCTCATTCTTTTCTCATTATCAGTGAAATTTCATAAGCTTTTTTAGATGGAACTTGCATGGTTCTTGGTTATAAATTTCTTTGGATGTAAATTAATCCAGTAATTTATTCAATTTTCTTGTATAGATATTTCTAATTACATTGTACTTCTATTTAGTATTTATTTACAGCTCCATGCTGTGCTGTGTGGCCTAAAGGCATTCAGCACATGGTCGTGTACGTCGGGGATAGAAACATGCCGTTTGTGTTGTGGGGGACACGGATACTCCCATGCCAGCGGCTTGCCCAAACTTTACACGTTTTACACACCAGGATGTACATATGAGGGTGAAAATAACGTCATGATGCTACAATTAGCCAGGTACCTCATATTTAAATATATTTATTGGGGGAGGGAGAACAGCATTGAATTGAAAAATATACAGCGCTATAAAATCATGTATATTTTGAACGTCCAACTAAATATGTCTTTCGTCTTGCACTTGGAAAAGGAGAAAATTTGCGAGTCCAAAGTCTATCACAATTACTAATGGAATTTAAGAAATCTTATTTCACAAAGGAAAGTTCGAAATCAGTCTTGTTGAACTGAGAATTAAAGAAACAAGGTTTAGTAAGACTTGTCAACAACCTAAATTAATGAAGATGTTTTATTTCCCTCACTTAACAGGTTTCTGATTAAGGTGTATCCCACTGTAAAGAGAGGGGCACCAGTCAGTCAATTTCTGCGGTGTTTTACGGTGGATGTTTCTACCAAATCCTGCATGACAGAAGAAGTGGCGTTAGGTTGTCTTGTTAAAGCTTATGAACATAGATCAGCTAGGTAAGCGCAAAGGAAATAGTTTAAAAAAAATAAAATAATTTGTTAAAGAAAGATTAAGTTATGGCCGCTGTCAGTATGATTAATTGTAGCAGCATTATAAGGGTTACTAAGTATTTAACTACATAAACATTAGTGAGTACTACAAAAGTCAATTTCCACAAATTTAACATATTTTTACGTTGTAAGTTGAATTCATGAATTTTCATATTATTAGATTTGGATTTTATATTTAAATGACAAAAAGAAAAAAAAATTGAGAAACAGATCGATTTTGAATGCCGAAAACTTTTTTATGGGGACTGGCTGTGTTTGATCAAAACAGATGACTTAGAATGTCCTTAAGACTTTTTGTTTCTCAGATTACTCGAAGATGCTGCCACAAATATAGAGAGACTTGTTCGCTCGGGAAAGTCCAGACAAGAGGCATGGGATGCGTCCACTGTCTCCCTCACATGGGCGGCAACGGTAGTTATTGAAGCATTGAATGTTAATTTTTGCATTTCTCTTCTCATAAATTATACAAGATGAAGAACTTGAGTAGCAAAAATTGTTGTGAAAAACTGTAATCAAACTTTTGTGTTAAATTGATGACTGGCACCGTGCAATTACATGTGCTTGGTTGTAGCCCATGTTTAAATATCATCACTTTAAAATACTAATTTCAAACATTTTCATTTATGTGAAATTTCTGTTTAATTAATTAAACAAGCAATCATTAAGTATTTCACAAAGTTAGCATTTAAAATTATTGCATATTAAAATCTTCCTTTTTACTAGGCATTTTCTCATCTGTTTGTCGTCAATGCGTTTGTTGAGCACTTGAACAATAATAAGACTGAAAAGGAAACAGAGGACGCATTGATCACGCTTTGTAAACTTTATGCAGTTCATGGGATCGTAGAAAGACTGGGGGAATTCATTCAGGTAAAACAAATAAATAAAACTGATCATTGAAATGACATAAAAATTGTAAACAAGGCCAGAGAAAAAGACGGAAAATTTGATTAATTTCAAACCATAACGATAAGACTCATCTTTTTGTGGTCAAACACACTAAATACACAACAAAAACAACTTGGAAACAAACAAACAAAAACAAATCAGAACAAGAAAGTTTAGTATTAGAATTCAGCAAGAAACCATTTGAGTAGATGTTTACATATTGACAAAATGTATGTTAGAAGGATCATAAATCATGTTTTTTTTTCAAAATGATCAAAACATAATAAGGTATTAAAAGAAACAGTGTGAGAAGAATGATACCAAGTTGTTTCTTTATATTTAGTTAACATAAATTGTTGACATATACTAGAATGAGGTATATAATAAATGGTAACATTTCTTTTCTTTTTGTGAAAAAAAGGATGGTTTCTTTAGCCCTGTACAAGTCACTTACCTTCACAACAAACTGACAGAGCTGTTAGCAGGGGTGAGACCTAATGCAGTGGCCTTAGTGGACGCGTTTGATTACCCTGATCAGGTGGTGGACAGCTGTCTAGGGCGTTATGATGGACAGGTGTACCAGGCTCTGTACGAATATGCCAAAAATTCACCTCTCAACGAGAAAGAGGCAAGTTACTTTCCTTTCTTTATTTTACCTTGTATGGGAGATAAGTAACTTTTTCTAATTAATTAGTTCTTTAAACTTTTCATTTTTTAAATGTCTTATAAATAATGATCTTCATTCACATTTTTTTTCCAAAATACATGTAAAGTAAAACACGCTTATAATAAAATGATGCTTGCAGCGAAGTGATTTGACGTTGAACATGTAAACTTAACGGATATACATGTAACTAATTACGCTTATAAAGAAACAAAATCGTCCGTCCCTCGCACTTCATTACAAGCGTGTTTTACAGTAACAAAGTAAATAGTTAAAGTGTTCAAATTAGAAGTTAAAATAAACATTTTTCTTTAAAAATTTCAGTAGCTTCCCTATATTTAATATGTTTTAAACCTTTAAAGCCATTTGAAAATCTTGGTTATATTTATTATCCTATAATCTGTTTTTCTAAATACGTTATCTTTTGTACAGGTTTTGGATTCCTACTTTAAATATATAAAACCTGCTCAAGGGGGAGGAAATCCTACAATGTCTAGACTGTGATGGCTGACAAATTGTCAGAAAAAAAAATCTTTTTGTGGATATATTTTATTTTGATTGGCAATAGAATAAAAACCAAAGAGTATTCAACGGTCCTGATTTCAGTGATGTGAGAGAGAACCATTTTGCTGATTCATGAAATAATAGATTCAGTACATGTTCTATACTTTTTCTAAATATTGCAAGAAGTTGTACCCAATGGTTAATAGTAAGAAAACCAAAGTTGTAATATTTGGTAGAGGTAAAAATAATAGCACTTTTTTATTAGAAGGTCCACAGCTTGATATAGCCGATAACTTTAAATATTTAGGTGTTACATTTTGTAAAAGCAATTCTTTTAATTTGAATACCAAAGAACTAAATGACAAAGTTACCAAAGATATGTATTGTGTTATTGGTAGATGTAGAAAGCATAATTTAGGTATTGATTGTAGATTAGATATGTTTGACAAATTTATCAAATCAATACTCCTATATGGATGTGAAGTGTGGCGTTATCACATATTAAACTAATTGAAAAGTTGTACCTAAAATTCTGTAAATATATTTTGAGCTTGAAAACCTCAACACCAAACCTTATGGTGTATGGGGAACTTGGCAGGTACCCGGTATTTTAATGCTCAGAGTTCTAAATTGTCTGCAAAATTTTATGTGCTCTAAAAGTTGTAGGAATCCATGGTGTGATTTTGTTTAGAATTTTTTTAATGAATGTGGATTGGCCTATGTGTGGTATGAAAATTCAATTTATATATATATTGGTTAAAAAATTACTCTTGGATCAGTTTAAGCACTCATGGTTTAGTGAAGTATTGAATTAGAGAATTTAAAAAAAATCATTAATCTTTTCAATAATATTTGTTGAATCTGCCTCTTTAAATATCCAAGAAATATTTTGTATGCAGAACTGGGAATACAAAACTACATACAGAGACTAGTAGATGGTTTAACATACCAAGAGAGAATAGAATTTGTAAATTATGTAACTGAAATGATATTGGGGATGAATTTTATTATTTATTTAAGTGTACTGCATCAATGAAGAACTCGAGAGTTATGTATTTACCAAAATATTTTCAATCGAATTCATATGTTTTGAAATGCTTTTTAATGTAACAAATATTAATCAACTTAGTAAAATTGTAAATTGTTAGATAATACAACTGAGAGTGTTGGCTCTCTTGGTTAATTACACTCTATTTTCCCTTTATTTGATATTTTCTAGTTATTATATTGTTTGTACATATTGTATCTTCTCTACACTGTTTTTAAATTATGGAAATAAAGCTCATTGTCATGACACAGGAGAAAACATCTGTTTTTCCAGGAATTTTAAGCTGATTTTAAAGTCTGATGACACGTTCCTCAAATATCTGTTTTGTATCTCTTCATAATGTTGTATATATAAAAATATTCATAATTATCATTATCTTTTGATTTCGATGCTATTTTTAAAATGCCTTTAAAATAAATACACCAAAAGTTGTAAAAGTGATAACTCAAGAGATTTCCATTAGGAGTATATAGGAAACACCATCCCCTATGTCTTGCACAAATGCCTGGTAATTAAGGTACCTCAATTTTTGTGGTGAAACTTGTTGAAGTAGCAATACTTCAATGACAATTATTGGGAGAAATTACATATTATTGAGGAACTTGTCATCTGACCTTAAAAATACTTGAAATGAATATTGTTGTTTTGTGAAAACGTACAGTTGGGCTTTATTTAAAAGGATGTCAACTTTTTTATGTTTTCCGTCAAAAGCAACATCTTTTCTGATGTTTTTTTTTTTCAGTTTCATTACGTAATTGTCTTCACTGCAATGATTATTCTCTGAACTGTAAACCTATAGGGCATAGAACGAATATTTCAATTGAACATTTCAAATTTTGAATATATATTCATATCGTAATCATTTAGCTATTAATCGGTAACTTATTAGCGCCAGTAAAATAAAATAAAAGTTTATTAAATCAAGATGGACATTAATGGTCTACTAATTACAAAGACTGGATAAATAGCAAAGAAATTTTAATTTCATGAACTACTTGTATTATGATTATCTTAATAGAATAGATTGGATTTTGATGTTGGTACAATGAACTATAATCTTGTAAATGGTTTTTGTTAATAACTTTAAATATTTAGGTGTTACACTTTGTAAAAGCAATTCTTTTAATTTGAATACCAAAGAACTATATGATAAAGCTACCAAAACCATGTATAGTAGATGCAGAAAACATAATTAAGGTATTGATTGTAGATTAGAGATGTTTGACAAAATTATTACTGGTGCACTGGATAATAGAATTGAGAGAATTGGCTCTCTTGGTTAATTACACTTTTAACCCTTCTTCAAACATATATTTTATTTGATTTTTTGTATTTTTTCTTCTCTCTCTCTCTCTCTCTCTCTCTCTTTTAAATATATTGTTTATACACTAGACAAAATTGCTAACGCACCACTTTTTACGAGGGCTGTTCGGAAAGTTCGTGAACTACCGTCATAACTTTTTTACTTAACGTCATAATATCCAAATTTGGAAGAAATATTTTCAACAGTAAATTCAAATGATGTGTATTAAAAACTTTTTAAATATTGTGGTTTATTTCAAACTTATTTAGACTTAAAAATGCGAAAATCGGATCACGGAGCAGGTGAAAATTTTAAATTTGTAAATTACAATCAAGACACTAAATAATGTCTGAAGTCATATCTTCTGTAAAATGACGCAAAAACGGAAAAATTCTACACGTTCAAATTAAAAATTGTTTCCTCATTTTTTATTCCAAATTATGACTTAATATTTTGCTTCGTTAAAAAGAAATCAGTTTAAGAAGATAAGTAAAGATAAGAAGATAGGTGAAAAAGTCAAAAAAGTTGACGTCGTAGGACGTCGCGGAGCAGCAGTTAACCATACAATTTTGTGTTGTACTCTGGAAAACTCCAGAAAAAAAAACTGCCGGAGGAAGTACGAAATAATAGTCAAAAGCGAGCCATGCATGTGTGTGTGTACATGGTAAAAGCGGTATTTGAATGATAGACTACTCTGCTTAGACGATGGTGATCTGTGAGAAAACGGATTATCTGTAAAAATCTTATCAAAAACATTGAAAAGTTAGTAACGTCATGCTAAGAGTTTGGCGTTTCGATCACAGATGCTGATCTTGTGAAAGCACGCTTATGCAGTTAAAAAAAATATAATATTGACAAACAAATTATGCTACTGGAACAATTGTAAGCAAAATAGATTTCAAGTGATAGAGAAACGTTTTTAATGAGTACACAGCTGGTATTGGGAAATACTGTGTGAAATGTATAGGGATAGTATTTTTGAGAACCTAATGTTGGTATGTTTTTGACGTTACAGTGTTGTTGAGTTTGCTTCGTGGTTACAGAACGTGTTGATTTTTAAATTAAATAATATGAATTCTATTAAATCACATGGAATGAAACTTCACACTTAAACAAAAAAAATATTTTTACATATGATATATGTTCATTTTAAATTTCTTGAAGATAGTATAACGAAGATTGGCATAGTCCACGAACTTTCCGAACAACCCTCGTACGTAGATGAAACCTGAAATAGTACACTCAGAAAGAAAACGTTTCATACATATATATTGTGATAAGTTTACTGGGATTGATGTCGATGAAAAATCTCAAAAAAAAAATTCCAAATTTTAAATAACAAAGTAAAAATTAACGTCACTATTCATACCAGATCACATATAAAATTTCAACTGAACAAAGATGAGACGAATAATGTCTCGTGGTAAAAAATATCAAGTGATTTTTTTTAAGGCTTTTACTTTCAATCAGAAAGTTTTGAACTACAAGAAAAATATACTGGGTTTCCCTTTCTGAAAGATTTTGTGAATCTGGCATATATTTTTAAATAAGTTTACAGGAAAGCAGCTCAGTTTTCAAAGGACCGGGGGGGGGGGGGGCAAAAAAAAATGTCCAAGAACATTTCATATGTCAAACGAGACACCATATACTACATCACAACAAAATCTCCCCCTGTCAGCCACCCTAAAAGCGTTACCAGACTGTATGATATACATGTATCATATAGTTACATTGTTATAACTACAGTTTTTCTCTGACCATTATTAGGAAAATAAAATTAATACAATTGAAAGTTATAAATGAGTTTATTTTTATCAATGATTGAAAGAATGACTCAAAACCTTTATGATAGATTATATTTAAAACATATACATTTTTTTTTTTTAGAAAATTACGAAAAAATGTGAATTTACAAAGTAGATGATAGTGAAGTATTATGGTTGAAAAAATGAACGATTTTACAAAGAAAATGTTACTTAAACCCACCTTTAAAAAGAAACAAGAAAGGGTGATGATGATGATGGTGATGATGATGGTAGTGGTGGTGAGGTATGGGTGGTCATGATGAAATGTGACTGAACAAATTAAGTTTGGTCTTCTAAACAGAACATTTTCAGGTCCTCCATTTTTGTCTGGAGATGATAATTGTTGTCTTTTGCCAAGAATTCGAAGTCTGTGGTTTTAAGAACTTGACGACGAAATTTATTTATCTGTAACAACGAAAATAAATGGTTTACAAGTACTGTAGAGAATGTTTTATAGGTTAAAGAATATCAATGACAAACACAAAAATTTAAGATACACGGCGTCTAATTACAAGCAGGATAGAGAAGTCCCCCCAGAGATTAGTATCTACATTGAATAAAGTTTCTGCACTGTCTTCCAAAATTCCTTGGTATTTTTTAGCTACTTTCTGTTTTCCTGTAAAAAAAAAAAAGGATTGGGACTGATGAATTTGCTGAATTCTGAACGGGTTTTGAAAGATATAATTCATTAATGCACTAATGACGGGGATCAAAACCTACCTGATTCTGTCAAACCAAAGAAAAATATTTGGTTTTAATAGTAAACATGTAATTAACTATACATGTACTTACCACAGTCGACCAGATTCAGCTCATGTTGGGTCCACATTCCGTTTTGTGTGGTGATGTCTTTCTCCGTAATTCTGCTCTTCTTCAAGGCCTCGGTGAAGAGATACGAAAATATAATGAATCTCTTCTGTTGCACTAATGATGTACGTGCATGATACATTGTGAACGGTACTTTTTGCACACTGAAAAATCTCCGTAATGTATATATTTGATCGTCTTACCAGCAAAGTCTTTTTGTCAGAATACGTAAACCCAACATGCTCGTCAGCTGTCTCCTTTCCATATAGAAAAATCAAAATTTGCAAAATGTTCCGTGTCTAGAAAATAAATGGAAACGAAGGAACATTCGTGATTATTAGTCCCCTACCGGTGAAACCGGAGGGGACTATAGGTTTCCTCTGAGTCTGTCCGTCCGTCTGTCTGTCTGTCCCTCTGTCTGTCTGTCTGTCAGTCTGTCCCACTTGGTTTTCCGCACTTTTTTTCCTAAACGCTTGCAGATATTGAGCTGATTTTTGGTATGTGAGCGTATCTTGATGAGTTACAGATCAAATTTGCATTTCGTTTTTGACGGAATTACGGCCTTTTCAATTTTTAAGGGTTTTCCGCAATTTTCTTCTAAACGCTTTCAGATATTGAGCTGATTTTTGGTATGTGACTTTACCTTGATTAGTTATAGTTCAAGTTTGCATTTCGTCCCGCTTCATTGATTTTTGACGGAATTATGGCATTTTCAATTCTTAACGGGAACCAGATTACACTTGCCGGTAGGGGACTAGTATTGCTAATGCAATACTCTCAGAATGCTTGTTTTTGTAGATTTCTAACATCCGTGTAATCAGCCGCTGCATTCTGTAAAATAGTTCTCCAATGTGCTTTATTAATTTCTTAATAATACATGTAATCAAATAGTTCATGTTGAAGCTTACAACTGGCATCATTGTCCGGATATTCGTCTTTGACAAATACTGTAATAGACTTGATTAAAGACACTCTTCCATGGTTTTGTTTCCAAATCTCTCAGACGATATCTGTTTTATATACTATCAACGTAAATTCCAAATATTTGCTGAACGACTGAAATGGCTCGCAACCTTTGTGACGTTAGTGAATTATGTTGCGTTCTTATTATGACGTCATCATAGAAGTGGCCCAATCTAACCCGATTTTACAAAAGCAAAAAATTATGAATGAATAAATAAATTAAACATGATTTCAACAAATCTGATTCTAATTTGAATAACAAGTAGATGATAATTTATATTATTATGACATAACTTCTGTTGTTTATATCCATTCTGAATGAGAAACTCAATCATTATGCAAATACTGTCCACCTTATTTTAAAAAATCAAGCTGGTTTTAGAAAAAACTATTCTACTCTGGACCACATCTTTACTTTGTATGCATTGATTGAAATATCAAAATATCATAGGAAAGGGTTGTATTGTGCTTTTATTGATTTTGAGAAACTTTTGATTCTGTTTGGCGTGTAGGACTTTGGAACAAAATACTATTAAATAATATAGATGGTAAATGCTTCAATGTTATTACACAGATGTATAAAAGCATTAAATCTAGAGTTGTCTCAAACGGTCTGTATTCTGAACCTTTTCCTTGCACTGTAGGTGTGAGACAAGGGGAAAATCTATCCCCATTTCTGTTTGCAATATATCTAAATGATCTTGAAGACTTCATGTACTCAAATAATGTAAAAGGTTTATCATTTATATCTGCCAAATTAGAAAAAGAGTTTGATTTGTATCTTAGATTGTTTGTTTTGTTATATGCTGATGACACAATTCTTCTCTCAGAAACACCAGAAGATCTTCAACACCAACTGAATATTTTTAACAATTATTGTAAAAAATGGCATCTGAAAGTTAACACTAATAAAACTAAGGTTGTTATCTTTGGAAAAGGCAATCCAAGAATTGAAAAACCATTTACATTAAATGGTAATATATTAGAAATTATTGATAATTTTAAATATTTAGGTGTAAATTTTTGTAAAAATGGTTCATTTAATACAAATATTAAGGAATTATTTCAAAAAGCAACAAAAGCTATGTATGGTGTTATAGGAAAATGTAGAAAACACAACCTTACTGTAGAATGTACATTAGATACATGTATGTTTGACAAAATTGTAAAGCCTGTATTTTTATATGGGTGTGAAGTATGGGGTTATAATCAGTCACCATTAGTTGAAAAGTTGCATTTAAAATTTTGTAAACATATCTTACATGTAAAATCATCTACACCAAATTTTATGGTATACGGTGAATTAGGTAGATACCCTATTTCAATTAATATTAAGGTAAGAATGATAAGTTTTTGGTGTAAATTATCTCTTTTACAAGGTGATAAATTATCATCAAATCTGTTAATTGTTTTGAAGAACTACAATAATCCATGGTGTAACTTTATCAAATCTATACTGAATGAATGTGGGCTTTCTTATATCTGGCAAACTTGCCAACCAGTGCATGTATCTTGGCTGAAGAAAGTAGTTTTTAACACTCTGTATGATCAGTTTAAACAGTCATGGTACAGTGAAATGTTTAATTCACCTAAAGGTCTTAATTACAGAATATATAAAACTTCATTTTGTTTAGAAAAGTAATTAGTGTCTTTGCCTTGTAAGTACTGGAAATTATTATGTAGGTTTAGAACTTGTAATAATAAATTGCCGATTGAAGTTGGGAGATGGCAAAATGTACCAAGAGAGAATAGAATTTGTAAGTTATGTTCAAAAAATGAAATTGGTGATGAATATCATTACTTATTCAATTGTAATGATCCATTTATTCTGAAATCAAGATTATCACTAATATCAAAGTATTACTATTTATATCCAAATGTGTATAAGTTTGATCAACTTTTTAATACAAAAATACAGTTAAATTGATAAAACTGTGTAAATTTATAAAAATTATCTGTGAGAGAGTTGGCTCTCCTGGTTAGGTCATTATTATTTTTTGGACTTTGTACTTTTTCTGTTTCACGCATGCACATATGTTTAACTATATTTGTAATCTGTCTCTACACTGTACTTAATGTCAGTTTATGAGAATAAATTCATTGTCATTGTCATTGGTGGCCCTGTTGTTCTTGACGAGAAAATTAAGTTTTAAAAAGAAATTTCTATATATTACAATATATATGTGGAGTCTGAAGTTTTTATCGTTAAAAAAAATCACCTATATGGTATTTATACATGGAATTCCATAACCCTCCACAAAAGAAGTCTTAAGTTTTTATCGTAAAAAAGAAGATGAATAAGAAAATACGGGACCCTAACCCCCCCCCCCCCAAAAAAAAAAAACAACAAACAAACAAACAAAAAAATTTCTGTGAGGGTGATATGGAATATCGTTTATATTGACTACTTTATCTTCGCACATGCACAGAACCCATCATTAAGATGAGAGAAAGCAGAAAGCAGTTGGCAGTAAACAGGTTTTTGTTGTTGTTTTTGTTCTGTTTTGTTTTTTTGTTTTGTTTTGTTTTTTTTTTTTTTTTTGGTTGTTTGTTTTTTGTTGTTGTTGATGGTTTTTTTGTTTTTTTTGTTGTTTTTTTTTTTTGTCAAGAAATTTCTGGATTGCATGGGAATTTTTAATTTTGACTGGGGTGGAACCCCCCCCCCCCTTGGGAAAATTTCCTGGATCTGCGCCTGGAGGAATATTTCGCATCAGCATCCAATGCGAGACGGAGCTTCAGTTTTGTATGGTTTAGTCAGAAGAACCTGTCTCCAAGTCCTGCAGAAGAATATTCATTGAAATCTTTATTACAGTTATTTGGGGGAGATACCGGTATAAATTTATATTTTATAACAATGTTATTTATGTCTCTGCTTAGGATGGTATTTCCCTAGAGGAAACAGCAAACATGTACTTTTTGGGGTTATGAATAATGCTGCAATGTAAGCTGGTAAGTGAATAACAGTGATTCCTATTCACTTATATTCCATAAATTATCCTGCTGAAATATGGCAGGTACTCTTTGTTGAAAATGAACTAGGATAACTCAATATGTACACCTTTATGGTGCAATTTTTAGAAAGTCACCCCCCCCCCCAAAAAAAAAAAACCAACTTACACATATAATTAACAAATAACCAGGACTCAGTCAACCAAATAAAGGAGAGGGGATTGTGGGTTTATACATAGAAATGATTATTTTTAAAACAAAAGCAAAAAAAAAAAATGTATGATCAACCAACCAATATTCAAGTCAAGTAAATTTTATTTATAGTCGACATGTATATAAACATGTAAATAAAGAAATGAACAAACAAATTGAATTGTATATACAGTATAACAGATTAACATGAGCTGTGATATTAACCAACCCGGTCCTTTACTAAAAGTACAAAGGTACATATTCAAAACAAAAATACGAACACCCCTGGATTTCCACAGTCTTCAACTATTTCGGATTAGCGGATTGGTTTTCACATTTATCCATACCGGATGTTGGATAAGAGGCTGGGGAAAGAAAATATTCGGATTCGTGTGAGTGCGTGTATTTGTTTAGAGATACAACTTATAAGTGAAAAAATAGTGTGTATCATTTCAGCAGAAACATTTCATCAGTATTTAGTCTCCCAAAACGCCAAGGGCTTCAACTGTTGACTGCGCAGGCACGGAAATCGTCAGAGACTGGAGGCATCCCGAGGTCGGCTTCTTTGTTTTCCTTTTTTGGTCCGCGCGGTCCAGTCCGCATAAATTACAGTGATATCAAATATCAGGGCTGGGGTCTTATCAGAACGTGGAATGTGAAGTTTAAAAGATACTCTGCTACTTTTACTTCTTTGTAACAGTGTATAACAGGAATAAAACAATAATAAAAAGGTATTCGTTAAGAAGGACCTAATTTTACTCAGAGGCTTGACTGCAGACACTGCTATGTGGTGAGCCAATGTTTATCAGAAAACTGAGTGGCGGATCATACTGCAATGTAAGTTTTTCTTCTTGATTGTAAAATGTTTTCATTCTATTTGAAAAAAAAATGTGTATATATTTTAATGGAGAAAATGTGCTATACAAAGTTAATAATTTTGAACTATCATAAGGTGTCTTTGATGACAAGATGAGAGGATTTAGAAATGTTACTCCTGTTTAATATTCAGACATACAGTCAGTGTATGGAATGCATGTATCTACTACCACTCATCACTTCACAGTTTCATATTATTTTTAAATTCAAGATTTATATAAACATATTTTAGAAATTTTTTGAGTAATGGAGCCTACATATGTATGTAAGTTTCACAACTGTTTGATAATAAAAACTGAATTACAAGTGTATAACTAGTTTGTCTGCAAGCACTAAATCTTGCCTTATGTTTTACAAGTGCATGTGAATTTCAGTGTCTATGCCATCTGACCATATTACAATTTACAAGTTATCAGTCCACATTAGTAAAATAATTTCAGCCATTGTCCATTTTTTAAAGATGTAAATGTGTAACATATATACTAGGTAAGTGCGTAAATGACTAAATGTGATTATCTTTCTTTTGAAACAGGTTCCTTAGAATTGGAGCTTGAAGAATATTATTGAACACATACTAAAAAAAATATTAAAATGACACAGCACAAGGTTTATATGAATCAAATCCACTGCAGTTCCCTGCTGTGTGAGCTGGCCCAGATGTGGAGGAACCAAGCCCTCTGTGATGCCATTATTAAAGCAGGATCCATCACAGCTAAGGTACACACATGTTTTCTCTTGGAGGGGCCACTCTGGTCATGTGTTAGACTTGTGTTATCAGGACTGGTCTGACTTAATTCTCAACAGATGTTAGGACTGTGTAGCTCTTGTTCAGTTAGCCACATGTGCTATGTTTGTGATACCGAATTATAAAAGATGAGATGCATATTGAGTGTTTTCTTAGCAGGTTAATGTTCTATGGTAATGTTTCATAGATACACTGTAGTTCTATATTAATTTGGATTGGTGATAATTAGAGAAAATTAAAATGATTACAAATTAATTTTGATTCATGTAAAACATAATTTATTTTGATGAAAGATATTCTCAAAGTCCTTGATCATGCCTTTATGATCAGGAATAGTTCTTGAATATATGCAGTTTTAGATTTAACAAACATAATGCATTAAATTCAAAAAAGTCATCAGACTTGCAGTTTCAGCTGACAAGAGTAGGACAAGTATGGTAGTTAATAAGTTACAAGTAATTAGTGATAATCCATTACTTTCTCTACATGTATTTACCAGTAATGTATCATTTTGTTACTGGAGAGATGGCATGTTAACTTGTAATGGGGGTTGTCCCTATTTACTTTACAATATTCACACTTCACAGCCAGAGAAAATTGATTAACAGAATTATAATGCTGACATAAAAATGAAATGCTTATTAAGTTATTAAGAAATGTGGGAGGATAATTATCTAAACAAATAGGAATTTCTGTTGAAAAATAAATGTAACAGTGCTCCAAGTCACACTTACTATCAGGTAGCTAAATGGCGACCCCAATTTTTTTTTTGGTCGCCATTTCAGAATTTCTGGTCACCATCAACAGATATTTCACTTGCCATGGTGAAAACGTTTTGTGAATAACACATTTATTATATAATAAAAGGAAAGAACAAATACTCATATATGTACATATATAATGTCTTTTTTAAATCAAAGATTACTTAATTATCACTGTGACTAAACAATTTGCTAGGCTGAAGGAACCACTTATGAAATATCGTTATTACAAAGAACCACCTGTATGGTTGTACACAGAAGAACACAAGTCATTTCATTCTAGAATTAAAGTTAAATCCCCAAAAATTGCTACAAGTTTGACTGATGTGTACATCAGGTGGAAACTTTGAGATTGGACTTTGTCAGCTGTTTGTCATGTTTACTTTATTACTACGTACCAAACCTATTAAACAGTTGCTTTTAATATTGCCAAAAGATGAGGATGTGCAAGCAATAGTAACCAAATGCTCCATTAGCAAGGTCGGGTTTTAAAAAGTCTACAACATTTGGCAACTATTCTATACAGCATGCTGTCATATCATTACATAATCTCAGTCTTTGCAAAGTTTTAGGAATGTCTTCAAACATATTCTTGATAAAGGATCTTGGGAAAATTAATCTTGACCCTGATCATAAACATGGACAATCACTGGCCCAATTTTCTCATTCGCAAAAATGCAAGTTGGTTTTAATTTCTAGTCGCAAAACTATTTTTTTGGTCGCAAATGCGACTATTTTAGTCGCAACTTGGAGCACTGTGTATGCATATACATTAACAAATATTATGATTGTAATAACTTTACCCACAAGTAGTTATTATTTATTATAATATTGTATTGTACATTTGTCTAGTATGCTCATATTAGCTGTAATTCATATTAGCTTCAACTCTGTTGCCAGGGAATAATAAAACTCTTTCATGATTTGAAATGCTTTTTCTAGTACAGTTAAAATTCGGTATCTCGAACTCAATACTTACTTACTTTCTTAGTCCTCTTTGTGCTTTGAGCACTTAAGGCCTGCACCAAGGACCTCCATCTCTGTCTGTCCACTGACATATATTGCTGTACCATGCCCCAAGTCCATCCCTGATCTTTCATCTCCTTTTCTACTGAACGTCGCCATGTCTCCTTTGGTCACCCTCTTTTTCACTTTCCTGGTGAAGTCCATCTTAAGGCTACCCTTGGTTTATCTGATGTTTCCATTCTCAGCACATGGCCAATCCATTTCCATCGTTTCTCTTTAATCTGGTCGGATATGACAGCTGTTTGTGTTCTTTCATACAGCTCCTCATTGCTGATCTTGATCTCGAACTCAATGGGACCAAGAAAAAACTTTGAGATATCCAAGGATTCAAGATATTGAGGGTAAAATACTCGAAGAATACTTGGTTGGGACTTCAAAATTACTTCGACATATCCATGATATTTGAGATATCTGTGTTTGAGATACCTAAGTTCAACTGTATTTGTAAAATTATACCTTCATGTTATCTCTGTAGTTACTGTAAAAAATGTGAAAAGTCTGAAGAGAAAAATACTCGTGTATCTGACACAGTTCAAATCTTAACAGAATTATCATTCATTTTACGGATGGTAACTTATTGACACAATAGGATATATAGTGAATAACATTCTCCTCACTAAGATACATTTGACATTTACAGGCCCATCGCTTGGTTCTTGTGGCAGCCTGTCCTATGCTTAAGTCCATGGAGAGTGCTTCAGTTGGATCTCACCTGGAAATTAGACTTGCATCTGACATAAAAGAGGAATCCATCAACACATTTCTTCAGTATTTATATGAGGGATGTATGGTTTTAACTGAAGATAACTATAAAGACATTGAAAAAATTGGACGAATTCTTCAAGTGGACAGTGTCATTAAATGCTGCTCAGATTTTTACAAATGTCTCAATTCGTCCTCCCAGTACAAATATGACTATTATGACCATGTTGAATTCAAGCATGTTAGACAGACTGATATGTTGAAATTTAGTGAGAAATCCAACAAAAGATCAATGGACTCCAAAAACACAAGCCAGGGAGGGAAAAGGCAGAAAGTACTCAACTCAGACTCCCCCTCATTTGGTGCTAACCCCAAAACTGATGATCTGCCTGGTCCTCCAAATTTTAACAGTCCTAAAGATCACAACCGTCCATTTAAAATTGGTCCAGCTAGCATGTCCAGAAGGCCTAATGGTGGTGTGGATGTGGTGGAAGATGGAGTGCAAATCCACCATGTGGATAAGGATACCTCTCCTGGGTCATCACATGTGGTGGACACATCATCAGCTATGTCAGTCTCAGTAGCCAGTCAGATACAGCCGGATATAAATGTTCAAGTGGTAAATATTGGCAACACACATCATACCTCATCTCCATCTGTGATCTCAAGGATACCCAACAAACCTCCTCTCTCAGGGCCATTTCCCACTGAAACAGTTGACAACAGGTCAGACTCTCCCATTTTCGTAGCAGGAGTGGGAGTCAGGGGTTATGGAGCCACCATGGTACCACCATCAAAATCCTTTGCCATGGGCAGCCCAACCATGGTGCCTGTTGGTCCTGCACAGTTTCCAACGTTTGTGAAAGACACCATATCAACCTCTAATACTGAGGAGGAAGTAGGGTTAGTGAAAAATGTGATTTTCCTTAGATGTTTTAGCCATCTATCAAAATAAGCATCAACTTTTAACACAAATTGCTTCAACATTTAAATGTAACATTTCTACCAATTTTGATGAAATTACTGTAATTTAGATGTAGAATAAAGTCTAAATTTCATTCAAGAGTTGCAGAAAAAAGGATTTGAAGTCTCTTCATATATACAGTTTGTGAAATTTGCTATACTGAAACACAGGAACATGAAAAAACAAAATGTAAAAAAAAGAGTAGTTTATGTTGTCACAATCAGATCACTCATAGCACTAAAGTTTTAACTCTTAAAAAAAGTGGTTAGCAATTGATATCTTTTTTAAAATTTGATAACATGTTTAGTGTACATTTGTTTGTGTACAATTGTAGTATGAAGAGTCGATCAGAATCTCAGTCAAGTCTTACTACTAGTCCAGACCTCTCCATCGTGAAGAAAGAGCCAGGAATCAGCACACCATTTGTGGAGGTCCAGGAGCAGGGGATGATGATGATCCGTCGAACAGACACGGACAGCGAACAGCAGGAGGAAGTGTCCAGTGACCTGGAGATAGAGGAACCTCCCCCTGATGACAGTTTTACGGGTGACCCTGGGAGTGAGGCCTCATGGATTGGGGGACAGGCTGGTGAGTTTTATGTTTATAAAACATATAGCTGTAAAGGATGACTCTTATACATATAATTAGACAGAGAAAGAGATCAGCATAGAGAGAATTTGAAAGGGAAACATTTTGTATAGTGTGAAAAGCAGGGACCAGCTTAGACCCTGAATTTAGGGAGAATTCACTTCTCCCTCATATTCAGTGGGGGAGAAGTTTTAAAAATTAGGGAGATCTGGAACACTTAATACTACCATCTTTTCATAGAGGAAATTTTTAATTGTACCCTTACATGGGTAATCAAGGATCTTGATATATATTAAGACCGTAAAAGACCTCCACTTGTATATATGTTAAGGCCATAAAAGACCTCCACTTTGTTTCAATATGATATTCATGAAGACCCTCTTGATCTCTTTTCTCTGAATTTTTACCTAAACTTTCCACTCTTTTCTCTTTTTTTTTATTTGTATACCTGTTTATGTATGTTTTAAATGATAATTGTGATCTCATAATTTACATTTCACAAACATGTAACAGCATGGGCATGTATGTTTTTCTTCATTTCAATCAGGGATGTGTCAAAAGTTAAAAACTAGCTGTTACAGAGAGTGATTGATTGATCAGCTCAATAAGATATACATGTACAGTACAACTCAGTTATAAGGAAGTCATAGGGACCCCTATGACTGAGATTTTTATATGCATATAAGGAACAAAGTGAAAAGTCTTAGCATTATTCCTAAAAGTTTGCTTATTATAATAATGGAGTTTTCCTTATAAGCGAGTTCTTTATAATCGAGTGTTACTGTAATTATATTAATTTTCAGTTTATATGCTCAGTTCATATCCACAAATTACCCTTTCATTCTTTATTTCCACTTTAAAAGAAAGCTATTGAATTTTCTTGTTGTTTAAATTTTGCCATATTGAGTTATAAATGACTCAATAATCATTTGAGACTTGTATCTTCTTATTAAAAAGTTGCTTTAATTTGAATTTTGACTAGCAAATTTAATTCAATTTGCTTTCATATGCTGTAAATGACATTAATAGATGGAGTTAGAACTCAAATATTGATTCCCCTGAGTACAGTTTTGTGAAAGATATCTATCAAGGTTTAGGACATTTTCTTGACTGTCAGAACTTTTAGATTATACAAAAATTAGAATAACATTAAATCATCTAGAGTTTGATTGCAGGAAGAGCTCTTTATATCAATAAATTTGTTGATGTTCCTGACTTTTTTCAGTGAGACCATGTTTAAACATACATTTAGATTTAAAAATACAGTTTGAGCTGGTTGCTGTTATGCATGTTTAAATGTTACCTTACAGAAGTCCACACCATAAACAAAATTGTTCTCTATATTCAGAATACAGAGAATTAAATTCTGGATAATCAGTATGAGTGAAACATCTATGGGATGAAAAGGTGCTCTGAATGTATGAATTTGTGCAATGGGGAAAGTTTTTGAGCATAAATGAAGTATTTACGTGTTCAAGCATGTTATTGAGATGAAAATGCTTCTCTTCTGAAGTTATACTTTTGAGAAATCGTGCATTAAGCAACTGGATGTGACTGCATATTGGATTGGACATGTGCCAGAGAGAGGCTGGTTTTTCAGTGCATGAAAATATACCAAGCAGCATTCTGATGTGTGTGTCTCAAAGAGTACTAACTCCGCATGAACTGAATTCTCTCCCTTTATCACTTGAACAAAATCAGGCAAGTTTATATTAATATACCCTGTATCTGTCTTTCATAACGCTTCAGAATTCTTACAATTCATCTTCTTCTTAAAAATATCTTTATAAATGAATACAGAGTTATAAACTTTTTTGAGTTCAAAATTTAAAAATACCTCCAGATTATTTTCATACATCAGAAAGTTCTTAACAAGAAATATAACAGCTAATGTAAATTTTTTTTTTTTTTGGAAATGAATATATATAGCATTGCTTTTTCAGTAATTTACTGATGCCAATATTTGTAAGGTTTCATTAGAACTTTTTTAAATTACACATGTTTAAATATTTTATTTCCAATGAAAAAGTCTCCTGTTTTGCAGGTGAGAATGAGAGCAGTACGGAGAAGGGCTCCTGGCACAGTGTTGAAACTAGAGGTCCATATGCCGTGAATGAGGAACAAGGAGGTGAGGTCAAATTTGACCGCAATGAAATGAAATTTGATGGCACAGATTTAAAATTTTATGATGAAGTGTTACCAGGGCATAGGCTGATAAGGATTGAAGGTAGTAAGAAAGCATGTGCTTACTGTGACATTCAACGTTTGAAAACAAAATCGGGGTGGCAGATCAAATCCTATTTCAAGTGTCTTGCTTGTGATATACCACTATGCAAATCTGACAAGGAGTGCTTTCTTAGATACCATGAGCTGAGGTTGGAGCAACCAAACGTTCCACCCAAGGAGCTTCATAAAAGATTGAAAACAAAGAACAAGCCTCTTCTACTACATAATGTGACACCTTCACAGATGAAGTCCTCCAACACATCTTCACCCTCGCCGAATATATCCATTGAAGAGTCTGTCACAACAGCAGACATCATTAGGGCTCACCTATCCCCCTCCGACTTTTCTGAGCAGAACCCTGCCCCTCCTCTCCTTACTCCCTACCTATACAACACCTCCAATGTCCCTCCCCTAGATATTGATTCCCCGGAGCACAGCAACAGCGGGACACCTGAGAAACTGGACACACTACCACAGGTCAACAAAAAGGAAGAGAAGCAGACACCAAAAGCAGGCATCACCCGGAAGTCAAGGAAATCAGTGAAAACAAAGCCAATGAAAATTGTTTTCAATGAGGAAGAAAATGACGCGCTTGGTAGCGATGATTCCGATGATTCCAACATGGAGGAGGATTACACTATCAAGGAAAGGGTATCACTGGACAAGGCAAAAAATGGGGCTGTGTCAGCAGTGGGAACCAGAAAAGAGAGAGGTCAATCTCACATAGTTATACAGTAGCTTTAGAGATAGAACATTGAATAGATATGGGATACAAACATTTAAATACAGTATTGAGAAAGAGTTGTCATCAACAGATGTTTTGTACAATATTATTTGTCATCATTTGTATTGTACATGTATCATGAGCACAAAATTGAAAAGATTTCAACAGCAAAGCCATGCAGTAAACTATTTTTTCTTTCAATCTCTCCTCAGAAAGGTTATGTTCCTGTGTTGGAACTTTTTCTTGGAAAATAAGTTTTAAAGAGAGATAACTCTTTCTGTCCCTTGTTCTCAAAGAAACATTTTTTTTCACATTAATTTCTTGTTACCTAATACAAGTACTTGTGTTTTTAATTTAACTTGGATACTGCATTATTTCACAGATATTTAGCAAAAATTTAAGTGAAATTTTTGAACTCATGAAAATTTCTTTGTTTAGATAAATTCTTTTAATCTGTAAATGTGAATGATTAAATGAAGTTTTACCTAAATATTATTCAAGTCATATGTCATGTAAAATAAATACAGAACAAAATCAATTGTTTTCTATAATCTCATGGTATTTGCACATTCTTCATTGATGTAGTTATTCTAGTCATAGTCTAGTTCTTTAGTCAAGTGACATACAGAAAAGTGCCACTACCCAGGACTAGAATTTATAATTACAAAAGTGCCAAGGAAAGATTTTGCACTCAGGTTTTATGGTGCTAATTCACAGACATTGCTGATTTATGTATTAAGTATAATGTTTTCTGAAGATTGAAGGAGACTTGTGTAGTTTAACTTTGAAGATGTTTAAAAAAATTAATTTTTGATGTTTATATTTTTTTGATGTACATCTGTATATTTGTGTGGATATATAAGTAGTTTCTTATTTGATCCATTGTAAATCCCATTACTTTAGAAGTGTGCCACCTAGTAGTTCTTCTTTATAATATTTTCCTAGTCATAAACTATATATATCTCATTCTTGTGCCATGAATAGGACCATTTTATTATACCAAACAAATATCATTAAGTGACAGAGTTAGGCTCTTCAATTAAGACATGCTTTACAAAGTGAGATTTTTACAAACTTTGTACAGGTATCTTTGGTGCTTCCTAACTGAAACAGTAATTCTTAAAAGAACTTATTTTGAAAAAAAGTTTTTTTTTTATTTGTGCCTATTCAGTTTAACCATGTTTTATTGTATAGTTATGACTATGTATTTTAAATATACATGTATATGTATAATATATTCTTTCATCAGCTTTCACATGTATGTGATGGACTTATTTTGAATCTCAAATTAAGTTGTGAAAATTATTTCAGTGTATTATATTTTAAGAAAGCTTTTACAAGGAGTAGCAATTTTAAAAAAAAAAGGTTTTAAAAGGAGTAACGATTTTAAAACCAGCCATGATTAAAACTATAGCAATGATAAAAAAAAACATACACGGTGCATTTGAATGGCATCTTACAGGTTTAGTAAAAGTATTACGTGTCCTATTTCACTGTGTTCTAAATTTTAGGTGTGCCTTTTTAAACATGTCAATCATATATAATCACTAACAGTGCCAAATGTATGCCAGGCACTCTACTAATAGTGCATGTGAATCCAGACAATGTGAATTATTTTGCATGATATGTAAAGTGATTTTCTATATAATGTTTTATGTGTGAAGTAAATACAGTTTTAAATAAAGCTTTCTTATGCAAAATATATCATTACTGGTTATAATTGTGATGTGATTCTTGTGTTATTTTTCCAAATTCATCCTGTTGTTTATCCGATGAAAGAAAAATCTGGACTCCGTTTTATTAAAGAACTTATGACTAAGCTAGATCTAAATATAGTTTTATGAATAACTTCTTTTTACTTTAATTTGAAAATGAATTTCATCTCCTTTAAAAAGATCTTAAAACAATATTTTATACAAGTAATTTTCGACAGATTCATTAATTTTGCAAGATTTTACGATCAACTTAAGTTTAAGTCGATGAATCCTTTTGTAAAACAGGCCCCTGATGTTAAAACCAACTGTTCACACTTTTAGGACCAGCATGTTTGGAACCCACATGTATCTCTCCTTTACACTACATTCAACAATGTAGTGTAACAGAGAGAAATCCCATAGTTTCTGATGATGAACAGTGTAGTAATGGAAAGAAATCCCATGAGTTCTGATGATAAACAGTGTAGTGTAATGGAAAGAAATCCCATGAGTTCTGATGATAAACAGTGTAGTAATGGAAAGAAATCCCATGAGTTCTGATGATAAACAGTGTAGTGTAATGGAAAGAAATCCCATCGGTTCTCATGATGAAAAGTGTAGTGTAACAGAGAGAAATCCCATGGGTTAAGTTGATGAACAGTGTAGTGGAACAGAGAAATCCCGTGGGTTCTGATGATGAATTGTATAATGTAATGGAGAGAAATCCCATGGGTTCTGATGATGAACAGTGTATCGTAACGGAGAGAAATCCTGTGGGTTCTGTTAATTTTGATCATAGAAGACTGAGACTTGTGATCTTGTGAGTCGGATCTCAAAAGGAGAACTTTTGATATAAACTTAATAGAACATAGTGCCAAATTTTTGGTTGGTTAATTACATTTTTTATGTCAGCTTTTTAAGTATTTGTGTTATGTTCTTTATTATGGGGTAGATAAGGCATCTTTACAAGCCAGGAGGGTATGGTTCACTCAACTCCTGTAGGGAGTAGAGGGGATTGTAAATCCTCTGCTTGTTAAGATTCCTTACCTACCCCAGGAAAGGAGGGAAGAGTTTTGGAACAAGAAATAAAAAGCACTGAGACACCTAAAACTAAAGCTTTTATGAACATTTGTTAGAGTAAAGAGGATGTAATTTCTGCTAATGCAAACAGGGGTAACTGAAAGTTTAGTATTGTAAATTAAGGGAATCATTACAAAAGTAATTTTCAAGTTATGTGTACCTGTTAAAAGTATATTGTTTTATGGATAGGAACCCTTTTACTGTGTAACTGGGTCTTCCTTTATCCTTTCAGGGTTCAGGAAGACTCAGAGGCCTGGACTGCTAAAGAAAGAAAAGAGTTCTCCAATATCCCTTCCATTCACTGAACAGAATATTGTAGAATCTCATTTTACTATTACACTGAACAACGAAAACTCTCCAGGAATAACAGGCACATCAGAAAACCAGCCAAATTTAGAACCAGTCCCAAGTGATAATGTCAGCAATGTTGATACAAAGGATATGTGTATGAAAGATGATGAGGGACAAATACATAGATTAGTGAGCAACCCAGGACACAAAGCCCTCACGTGTGTCTATTGTAAAATGACAGGAAACAAAACAGCCTGTGGGTGGCACATCAAATGTTACTATAGATGTAGTGTGTGTGATGTGCCTCTTTGTAATATTAAACGTAACTGCTTTATTCAATATCATGATAAACTTAAGGAGGGACTCTTAGGTTTCTGATGAATTAAATATTCAAAGTATATGTTCATACCTGTAAATTTCTTTTCTGTTGAGATGTAAGGAATGTAAAAGATATTTTTCTTTCTTTCTTACATTTGTGCTACTTATCTTGGAATAGGTTAACTGGTTTTAAATTTAGCAGGGTATATATTTTTGGTGGCAGAAAATATATCAATGTTCATTTTTACTGCTAATAGAATAACAAATTATCAAATGATTCAAGAATCAAGTCTTATAGTATTTTATGAAATAATTAGAATTTTTAGCTCACCTGAGCCAAAGGCTCAATTGAGCTTTTCTGATCAAAATTTGTCCATTGTCTGTCGTGGTCATTGTTGTTGTCATAAACTTTTCACATTTTCATCTTCTTCTCAAGAACCACTAGGCCAATTTCAACCAAACTTGCAACAAAGTTTCCTTGGGTGAAGGGGATTCAAATTTATTCAAATGAAAGGCCATGCCTTCTTCCAAGGGGAGATAATTATGAATTCTTGAAAAATTAATGGTATCATTTAAAAATCTTCTCGCAAACCACTGTGCTTGAAAACATGAAACTTACGTGAAATTATTGTGAGGTAGTGTAGAATCAAATTTTTTCAAATCATGACCTCCGGGGGTAGGGTGGGGCCACAATGGGCGATCAAAGTTTTACATAGGAATACATAGGAAAAATCTTTCAAAATCATCTCAAGAACAGCAAAGCCATGATTGGTCATAATTATATGGAAGTATCCTCAGGTAGTGTAGAATCAAATTTATTCAAATCATGAGATCATGACCCCGGGGGAAGGGTGGGATCACAATGGGTGATCAAAGTTCTTCATAGGAATACATAGGAAATTTTTTTTTAAAAAAATCTCCTCAAGAACAGCAAAGCCATGATTGGTCATATTTATATGGAAGCATCCTCAGGTGGTGTAGATTCAAGTTTTTTTTTCAAATCATGACCTCCAGGGGTAGGGTGGGGTCACAATGAGCGATCAAAGTTTTACATAGGAATACATAGGAAAAAATCTTTCAAAATCTTCTTCTCAAGAAAAGCAAAGCCATGATTGGTCATAATGATATAAAACCATTTTCAGGTAATTTAGATTCAAATTTGTTCAAATCATGACACCCCCCCCCCCCCCCCAAGGAGAATAGAGGGGCCATAACAAGGGATCATAGTTATACAAAGGAATATAAAGGATATTTGTGTCATATTAATTCAAAAGCATCCTTAGGAATTGAGATTCAAGTTAGTTCAAATAATACCAGCCCCCCTCCCCCCTTTTTTATAAACTCTTCAAGACTGAACAGATTTCTGCTTTTTCCTAGCCAAAGTGCTCAGGTGAGCAATGTGGCCCCAGGGCCTCTTGTTAAATTAGAGGCTTAAATTATAGAATATTTAAATAAGATATGATTTCTCTTCCAAACTACAATCATGTTCACTGTTGTAAACTATCAAGCTGAAAAAAAGATTTGAGGGAAACATAGGTAAAACTGTTCTAATGGTTGATATGGATTGTTTAGTTTTGTTTTTGTTTGTTGTTTTTTTTTTTGTTTTTGGTATCATTCTGTATCTCTATATGATTTCTTTACTATACATGGATTGAAAATTAGAAGATTTAAGGATAATATGTTTATAGAGCTTAGAAAAAAATGAAGAAAATTGATATTACAAGAAATTCAAGTTATTCAAGTGAAATTATTCAGGAGCATGGCTAAGGAATGCTTAATGTGAGAGTATATTTAAGCGAAGGTTTATAGTAGCCACCATGAGGTCCCAATATGTTGACTAGATATATCCCAGTGAATTCTAAATAAAAGATACTAGAGAGACTGCCACATTTGTTTCATATTTGGATTTTTTACTGACTATGGATGATAGTTAATGGCTGACTAATAACTAAACTGTATGACAAAGGGGATGACTTCAGCTTTTCCATCATCAACTTCCCTTATACAGGGATATCTCGAATACCATGGATATGTTGAAGTCATTTTGAAGTCCCAACTACTTATTCCTTAAGTATTTTACCCTGGATATCTTGAATCCTCGGTTATCTTGAAGTATTTTCTTGGCCCCTTCAAGTTTGAGATAATGAGGTCTAACTGTATATGTAGCAATATTCCAACATCTCCTGCATATGGTGCTTATGTCTCCTAACAGATTTGAAATGCAATAACATTCTCTAAATACAATCAATTTTTAAATGGAGGCAAGCTACTCACAAATAAGTTGATGTTACAAGGATTTCAACGTCCCCTTTTTAAGTCAGCTTTTCGCAAATTCTATGTTCTTGTCTGTAAATACAACCCATCATTGGAACATATTTTGTCTGACAATTTGTTTCATACCATTTGTTAGGGCATCAATGGGTGTGACCGGTTAATGGGAATTAGTTGTTTGACATGAGTGATTCCTTCTGAGAAATGTAAATAAGCACTCCTTAAAGGCTCTGAACAGTTGAGGGGTTTGGTTATCAGCAGTTCATGATTGCATGCTCAGGGATACTTGGAATATGTGAATCATCATTTACCTTTTAACCTTGGTTAAATGCAACCAAGCATATGGTAAAAGATCTAGACCTTTTAAGGAGTATATAGCAGTATACAAAGCTTCATGGAAATATCTTGAACAAAATGAAGGAAAAGTGAAGTCAAGGATATTATAAAGATCAAGGTACCGTTAAGTTGAAATGTTGTAATCAATATTTTTATATCCCGCCATGCTCGCTCCGTGATCGGGAGGTCGTGAGTTCGAATCTCGGCCGCGACTGACCTAAGTCGATAAAAAATGGGTAGCAACTGTTCCTTCGCCATGCGCTCGGCACTTTGAAGTGAAAGTTGCGGATCCTTCGGATGAGACCTTAAAAACCGAGGCCCCGTGTCACGGTAGGCGTTGGCACGATAAAGATCCCTCACTGCTCAATGGCCCTGAGTGCCGAGTAAAGGTCAAAATTTGAAGCCCTTCACCGGTATATGGTGACGTCTCTATATGAGTGAAAAATTCTCGAATGGGACGTTAAACAACATACAATCAATCAATCATATACCCCGCCATGAATATAGCCGGGGGCATATAATGGTGTCATGTCCGTTTTCTGTCCCTCTGTCCTTCCGTCTGTCCCACTGTCACACTTTGTGTTTAACTCAGTTTCAAAGAAACTATTATGGATATTTTTATCATACTTCATATGCTGATACATATTGATGACAGCTATTCAAGTGCATCAACATTTTTGACCTTGACCTTTCCTTTGACATTGACCTTACTTTTCTTAAATTTGTGTTTAGCTCAAATTCAAAGGAACTGTTTAAGATATTTTTATCAAACCTTATATCCTGATACATACTGATGAGAAATATTCAACTTCAACATTTTTTTACCTTGACCTTTCCTTTGACCTTGACTTCATTTTTCTTAAAATTTGTGTGTAGCTAAGTTTCAAAGAACTTTTCATGATGTTATTATCAAGCTTCATATGCTGATACATATTGATTATTCAACTGCATCAACATCTTTGACCCTGACCTTTTATTTGATCTTGACCTAACTTTCTTAAATTAGGGATTATCTCAATTTCAAAGAAACTTTATGTATTTTTATGAAATCTTATATGCTTATGCATATTGATCAGAGCTGTTCAACTGCATTTACATTTTTTAACCTTGGCCTTTCCTTTGACCTTGACCTCACTTATCTTAAAATGGTATTCAGCTCAGTTTCAAAGAAACTATTCAAGATATTTTTCTCAAACATAATATGCTGATACATATTGGTAAGAACTTTTCAACTGCATCAACATTTTAGCTCTACTGGCCAGATACCAGAAGAGCTTATGTCCTCTGTCCTCTGTCCATTTCTCTGCCTGTCTGTCCATCTATAAACTATTTTTCAAAATGCTACTCCTCCTACAGTTTTGGTCTGATTTCAATATAACTTGACACACAAGTAGACTACACTAAGATACATAATTCTATAAATATTGTTTTTTTTTTATTTATTTTGATGAACAGTGGTTGCCATGGTTACTAAAAATAGAAATATCTGTGAAATTCTTTCAAACTGCTACTCCTCCTACAGTTTTTGTCTGATTTCATTAAAATTTGACACACAAGTACACTACACTGAGATACATAATTTTATATATCAGTTTTTGATTTCAATGAACAGGGTTACTTAAAAGAGAAATATGTGAAATACTTTCAAAACACTACTCCTCCTACAGTTTTGGTTTAATTTCAATATAACTTTACACACAAGTATACTACACTAAGATACATAATTCTGTGTATTCATTTTTTGATTTTGATGAACAATGTTGCCATGGTTATTATAAATAGAAATTTCTGTGAAAAATTTTCAAAATGCTACTCCTACAGTTTTGGTCTGATTTCAGTATAAATTGGCACACAAGTAGACTACACAGAGATACTTTACTCTTTTTAAGGGTTTTTGATTTTGATAGATGGTGTTGCCATGGTTACTCAAAATAGAAATTTCTGTGAAATTCTTTTAAACTGCTTCTCCTCCTACAGTTTTGCTCTTATTTCAGTATTACTTGTCAGACAAGTAGACTACACTAAGATACATAATTCTGTTTATCAGTTTTTTTTTGATTTCGATGAATGATGTTCCCATGGTTACTAAAAATAGAAATATATGTGAAATTCTTTCAAACTGCTACTCCTCCTACAGTTTTTGTCTGATTTCATTAAAATTTGACACACAAGTACACTACACTGAGATACATAATTTTATATATCAGTTTTTGATTTCAATGAACAGGGTTACTTAAAAGAGAAATATGTGAAATACTTTCAAAACACTACTCCTCCTACAGTTTTGGTTTAATTTCAATATAACTTTACACACAAGTATACTACACTAAGATACATAATTCTGTGTATTCATTTTTTGATTTTGATGAACAATGTTGCCATGGTTATTATAAATAGAAATTTCTGTGAAAAATTTTCAAAATGCTACTCCTACAGTTTTGGTCTGATTTCAGTATAAATTGGCACACAAGTAGACTACACTTAAGATACATTATTTTGTATATTGCTTTTTAGCTCACCTCGACGAAGTCGAGATGAGCTTATGCTATACCCCCGGCGTCGGCGTCGGTGTCGGCGTCGGCGTTAGCGTCGGCGTCCCAGGTTAAAGTTTTAGGAGCAAGTCCTATTCCCAATTAACTATAAGCCCTACCTGGACCAAACTTGCATGGATGATGCATCTAGGGATGGACACTACCAAACTTGCTTCGGATGCTGGATCTGACCTAGATTTTCCAGATGAGTGACCAGGTTAAAATTTTAGGAGCAGGTCCATTCCTAAGTAACTATAAGCCCTACCTGGATTAAAATTGCATGGATGATGCATCTAGGGATGGACACTACCACACTTGCTTCGGATGCTGGATCTGACCTAGATTTTCCGGATGAGTGACTAGGTTAAAGTTTTAGGAGCAGGTCCATTCCCAAGTAACTATAAGCCCTACCTGGACCAAACTTGCATGGATGATGCATGTAGGGATGGACACTACTACACTTGCTTGGATGCTGGATCTGACCTAAATTTTCCAGATTAGTGACCAGGTTAAAGTTTTAGGAGCAGGTCCATTCCCAAGTAACTATAAGCCCTACCTGGACCAAACTTGCATGGATGATGCATCTAGGGATGGACACTACCGAACTTGCTTCGGATGCTGGATCTGACCTAGATTTTCCAGATGAGTGACCAAGTTAAAGTTTTAGGAGCAGGTCCATTCCTAAGTAACTATAAGCCCTACCTGGATTAAAATTGCATGGATGATGCATCTAGGGATGGACACTACCACACTTGCTTCGGATGCTGGATCTGACCTAGATTTTCCGGATGAGTGACCAGGTTAAAGTTTTAGGAGCAGGTCCATTCCCAAGTAACTATAAGCCCTACCTGGATTAAAATTGCATGGATCATGCATGTAGGGATGGACACTACTACACTTGCTTGGATGCTGGATCTGACCTAGATTTTCCAGATGAGTGACCAGGTTAAAGTTTTAGGAGCAGGTCCATTCCCAAGTAACTATAAGCCCTACCTGGACCAAACTTGCATGGATGATGCATCTAGGGATGGACACGACCAAACTTGCTTCGGATGCTGAATCAGACCTAGATTTTCCAGATGAGTGACCAAATTAAAGTTTTAGGAGCAGGTCCATTCCTAAGTAACTATAAGCCCTACCTTGATCAAACTTGCGTGGATGATGCATCTAGGGATGGACACTACCACACTTGCTTCGAATGCTGGATCTGACCTACATATCCACATGTGAGACCAGGTATAGATTTAGGAGTAGTCCCATTCCCAAGTAACTATAAGCCCTACCTCGACCAAACTTTCATGGATGATGCATCTAGGGATGTACACTAACCAACCTGCTTCGAATGCTGGATCTGACCTAGATTTTCCACATGAGTGAATTTTAGCCATATTTTAACCAAATTAGCATGGATGTTGTATCTAGGGATGGACACTTCCAGACTTGCTTTGGATTCTGAATCTGATGTACATTTTCCAGATGAGTGACCAGGGTAATTTTTTTTGAGTAGCTATATAATATTATGGCCTTTTATGATTAAACTTGCATAGATGGTGCATCTAAGGATGAAAACTTCCAGACTTGCTTTGGATGTTGGAACTGACCAAAATTTTCTTGATTACTAAACAGGTCAAAAGTTTTTTGAGCAGGTCTATAATTAAATCAAACTTGCATGGATATTGATCTTGGGATGTACCCTAACTAGATAAAAAATATGATGTGAAATTTGCTTTACATGTAGATAACATTCGTCGAGGTGAGCTTCGTAATCTTTGATTACCTATGTTTGATTTTGAGACTGAACCAAGGATCATTAATATTCTATTTGTTGCTGTTGCATAGTTTTAGGTCCAAGTGCTACTTTTCTCTTCATTTTCAGTGAAGACAAATACCTAAGAGAAACATATACATGTACATATACATTTTATAGACCAAAACTTAATATGTTCTGAATGTTAATTTCTTACATGTGAAAGTGCTTAGAAAATTGAAAGACATTAGTCTCCTAAGATGCAAATTAAATTTGAGGGCAAAGTTCAAATTCAGTAAATATTCTTAAAATAAACATTAGTTACTTTGCAGACAGCTTTCACCAACTTTCTTTGGAATATAGATAAAGTTATATGTATATTTAAACTAAATTTTAATTACTTGAGATTAAATTTAAATTAAAAATACTTATGAAAAAAACTAATTCATTGATACATTTATTTACACTAATCATGCTTAAATGGCAAGATTGTTATGTTATATATGTATCTTTTCCTTTGTAGATGATCTGTCTAATTACATGGAACTTGTGATGAGGAACCAAAGCAGGAAGGGAGGCAACTCAAGACTTAATCCCCGCCTACAGGAGGATGAGGGATTTACTCAGTATCTGTTAAGTGGAACTCTGGAAATCCCAGCTTCTGATTGGACAGTTGATCCCGCCCATAGACTGGTGTCCACTGATGAACGTAAATTAAGACCTTGTTATTATTGCTCCTTAACTAAAGTGAAAACAAAATCTGGGTGGAGGAAGTACACGAGACATAAGTGTGAGCTGTGCAATATTCCATTCTGTAAGAGACAGCAAGGGTGTTTCTATCTTTATCATAGAGCTTTAGAGGTGTTCAGTGAGGAGGAGGCTCATGTAGAACACTCTCAAAATAGAGAATTTTCTGACACCTAAGGAAATTAATATTTAGTGTTATTTTACAGTTGAACAAATTTATTTCTGTTGCTTCAAAACAGAGGATGGGTCCCATAATTTCTGTTTTCAGTCATGACCATCAGAAAATGGTTTTATTTAATAATTGTTACTATTGTTTTGATATTCTGTGAATGATTTATCATTGAATGAATCAAATGTATTTATATATGGACTGTATTCTCAATTTCTGATAACAATATTTTTTTGTCCTGCCATGAATATGGATGAGGCATATAGTGTTTGTCATGTCTGTCATCCATCCTTCCGTCTGTCTGTCCATCACTTTTCATTTAGCTCAGTTTCAAAGAAACTATTTAAGATATTTTTATCAAATCTTAAATGCTGATACATATTGATAAGAGCTATTCAACTGCATCAACATTTTTTGACCTTGACCTCACTTTTCTTTCATTTGTATGTAGCCAAGTTGTAAAGAAGATATTCAAGATTTTTTTTATCAAAATTCATAGACATTGATGAGAGCTATTCATTTGCATCCATATATTTGACCTTTTCCTTTGACCTTGACAACCTTTTCAAAAATTTGGGTTTAGGTTATCTTTAAAGAAACATATTTTTTATCAAACCATATATGCTAATACATTTTGGTGAGTACTATTGAACAGCATCAAAAATTTTTGACCTTGATCTTCCATTTGACATTGACTTCACATTTCTTAAATTTGCATATAGCTCAGTTTCAAAGAAACTATTCAAGATATTTTAATGTGAGTTTCTGCACATACATAATTGGCATCCTCTCTAGGCCAAGGGTTTCTGATCCGCTACTCTTCTCACAAACCCTTGGCATACGGTGCTATAAAAAGTTGGTTTTTTTTCTTGAGTTGTGATTGGAATTGATCGACATCATTCGACCAATCAGCAGTTGCTTTTGTAAATGATGATATTTGCCTTCGGGATATATCTTGATTCTTTAGTCTTGGGTATAAATAGATATGGTGTCATCCAATCTTAAGCTGATGTACGAATATTGTGATCAGGAATCTTGTTTTAGATGTAGATTTGCACGATTAATAACAAATAAACATTGCTCGATATCTTCTTGTTAATTATTCTTTAAAAACTTAAATTTTCAAATACGCTTTTTATTTTTGTCGATGACACAATTTGTGCTTATGTTGGAAGATTGGAGATCATGTGTCGTAAACAATCCCAACTTTTGACTGCACCGTATGCCAAGGGTGTGTGAGGAGAGTAGCTGATCAAAAACCCTTGGCTAGCGAAGATGCATAATTTGTTGAGAATTTATCAACTTTGTCCAATTTATTTTACCTTGACCTTCCAAATGACCTTTGACTTGACTATCTATTGTGTGTTAAACTCAGTTTTGAAGAAACTATTCAAGATATTCTCATTAAACTTCATTCACAAATACAAATTTTCATGTTGTGTTTCTAATGAGCCCTGGGCAGGGCATTCATGTCCTGTGGACATATTTCTAGTTATGTATATTGTTAACTCACTTAGCCAGAGGCTTAAGTGGGCATTTCTGATCAATGATTGTCTAGCATCTGTATGTCTTTTTGTTGTATGGATATGCTTTTGATTTTCCTTTCCAGAACCACAGCCAATTTCAACAATTCGTCATTGGAGATTAAATTTATTCAAAAGGAAAGTTATGCCCTTTTTCAAGATGAGATAGACATGATAAATAGAAATTGTAAAAAGATATTTGGTGCATGTAAATATCTTAAAGAATCAATGGGCTAGTAAAGATTAAATTTTTTTCAAAGCTTCCCAATTAAGTATACATTTATATTCAAATTTCATCAAATCATGACCCAGGACTAGAGTAGGGCTGCAAAGATTTACACTTGAACATGTTGAATATGTAGGAAAATATTTTTTTTAAAAATATTCCAACAAAAAACAACAGGGTCACAATAAGTTATATATATATTGATGTGCATGCATCCTCATGTTGTGTAGATTCAAGTTTAATCAATCAGGTCCTCAGGTGATATCAGCATTATGGCCCTAAAACCTATTGTTTCATGATGCAGTATTGTTGCAATTTTAAAATACAAATGTAATTAGTACTAGTATTTAAGTTTGATACATGTTTGAATTTTGAAAAATGAAATGTAATTTGCAAAGAAGAGTCGGAAGACAGAGATTAAACTTGTGAAATCCATCCATGGCAATTGATACTCAAAAATATTGAACAATAACCTAACTATTAGTGTATGGTTTACCCCCTTTCGCATATCTGTATTACTATAGTATATAATACAATCCACAACTGAAATGATAAATATGAACCATTATAAGAATGTAATTGTTATATTTCAGTGGCAATGCAATGATCGATCAACATTGAACAAGAATTTACATTAAAAAAAATACCTGTCCATGCTGTAAGGGATATTTTATTTTGTATTGTGAATTCATGAACAGGATAATGATGTTCAAATTTGACTCAATTTCAAACAAAATGAAGATTTTTCAAGAAAGGAATTTGTTGTCATTTGTACATTCTAGTTCAAGGTTGTCCATTGATTCTGGTGTACTCTTGATCAACAATTACCGTAATGTAGCATGATTCTTTGTCGTAGAAGATACTAGTATGATAAATGATCATATTACATAGGAGATATCACAAAATCTGTAATATGTTTTACCGTAATGTAGCATGCTTCTTTGTCGTAGAAGATACTAGTATGATAAATGATCATATTACGTAGGAGATATCACAGAATCTGTAATATGTTTTTAGCTCACCTCAACAAAGTTGGTGGAGCTTATTTAATACCCTCGGTGTCGGCGTCCCAGGTTAAAGTTTTTGGAGCAGATTTCTTTTAAGTACTTCTATGCCCTATATTAATCAGAGATGCATGGAGGATGCCTCTAGTGTGTTACATTGTACCAGTCAAGGTTTCAGATGCTGTACCAGTCAAGGTTTCAGATGCTGCAATTTCAGCTAAAGAATGACCAAGTAAATGTTTTTGGAGCAGGTTAAAGTTTTTAGAGCAGATCTCATTTCAAAGTAACTTTAAGTCCTATGTTGACAAAACTTGTATGGATGATACATCTAAGGATGCACACTACCAGGCTTGCTTCGGATGCTGGATCTGACCTAGATTTTCCAGATGAGTGACCAGGTTAAAGTTTTTGGAGGAGGTTAATTGCCAAGAAGCTATAATAAGGCCTATCTGAATCTAACTAATGCATGGATGATGCTTCAAGGGATGAACACTTTCAGATGCTGGATTTGACCTATATTTGGATGAGTGACTAGTTAAAGTTTTTAGGTAAGTCCATTCCTAAGTAACTGCAAGCCCTATCAGACCAAAATTGCTTAAATGTTGCATCTAGGGATGCACACTACTAGATTATTAGTTTAGTGTGGGACTTTGCCTTACATAAAAACAACATTGAGGTGATCTCTGTAATCTCTGATTACCTATGTTTAAATATTGTTTTTTCTTGTTGAAAATTTATCCAGTAATAGTTTTTGAGACCAAAAAAAGATGGTAGATATGCATGAGCATATATGTTGAGTCGCAGGCCTTTTGTTTAGAATGGATATTTTGGACAATGTTGAGTCGCAGGCCTTTAGATTGCTTTAATTCGACTGACAAAACGGGGGTGGGGTGGGGTGGGGGGGTATTGTCAGTTTAAGCGATTTAAAGGCCTGTGTATCGAGTAAGAAATTACTTAACACTTTGTGAAACATACTAAAACATTTTCTGCACATAGAACTCTATTAATCTGAAGAGGATTCGGCAAATTTCGGTCAATTCCGAAATTTGCATACATGCAGAGTCACCCGAGGTTTGGCGAGTGCATGTTGAGATAGCTGCAGATTTGTAGCTCACTGGTCTGAAAAAATTGAGATGGACGACAAAAGAGCTGCATGCTATCCCTTTGAAAAAAAAAGTGTTTATCGCGCACAAAAAACCCCATTCCCAATAACCGTTGTTTATAGCCCTCCTTGGTCTGAAATTGAGAGTATCGAAAAGTTCGCTTATATAAAATGCCGTTTTGGGAAGCAATACAATTTGCTCCAACGCGCCTTCCTGCAAATGTCAACTGCGAGAGTTGATAGAGATCTAAGGAATTTTTTGAAGTTGTGTTTTGGTGTAGTTGAGGTAAGAATTTGAATGAATCCAGAACCGAGCTCAATTTTTTGTGAGCAATAAATAAATCTCCAAGAAATTGCTCAACTCAGACGGAAACAAACCTACATGTCTGATGGTACCTGGCTCCGGGGCCATAAACTTAGAAGAGCTCACTTTTGATCTCAGTCTCATTTTTCCTCTATCTATTACTTTTGAAAAGTGAGACTGGGATCAAATGTGAGCTCATCTAAGTTTTATGGCCCTGGAGCCAGTATGTGTGTTTGTTGAACTAAGTTGTTTAGAATGGATTGTTTAACTAAAAAACTGGTATTCCAGGGCATCAACGATAGTTGGAAACGTGGGATAATTTGCATAACGGACGAAGCCCGTTTATAATGCATAAATTATCCCACGTTTTCAACTGTCGGTGATGTCACTGGCACACCCATCAAACTAGACAGTGATTCCTTATATTTACATTTATATATGAAATAAAATATAAATTAAAACATAAAACAAAGATTACGAAGCTCACCTCGATGAATGCTATCAATAAGTAAGGCAAATTTCACATCTGATTTTTTTCTAGTTAGTGTACATCCATGCAAGTTTGGATTAAGTAGGACTTGTAGTTACTTGGAAATAGACCTGCTCAAAAAAACTTTTAACCTATTTACTAATCAAGAAAATTTTGGCCAGTTCCAACATCCAAAGCAAGTCTGGAAGTTTTCATCCTT